GCTTTCGCCGTCAAGGCTCCACCAAACCAAGCTTCAAATATCATCAGGGTGCAAATCATTCCTCGTGCTCTTTGTCTGTCATGCCATCGTCCTTCAACCTTTGCTATACGAGCCATGCGTATGAACCATGGTCGAAAAGTCGGAGTCCTACTTCCGGAATGACATGTTTACTCCACTGGACCCCAATCTCGAAGCGAGCATTGTGTGACCATCTCTAGCCTAACAGAATTGCCTTCCTTCATCGCCGGTGTGATGACGCTCTGCACGCAAAGCTCTGCTGGGAGTTCTTGCATACTGCGCAGGCGCTTGCTGAACCTGGCGCTACCCTGTCTAAGCACGTCATAAAGTAGAGGGATGACCAGAAGACATGAAAACGCAATCGTGAATGTGAGGTGCTTGTACTTTCCTGGCATTTGATAGCCCGACCCCTTTTTGCAAAAAACATCCAAGTAGCCCAGGAGGTCGCCAGCGGCGCTTGTCCATGGCAACGACGTGCCAATCTGAGGCCTTGCACGCTGCACGCTTCAAGTTTCGCAAAGTTCCGGCCCCCTTTCTGGGAAGAATGCAAAGTAGTTGACAAACAGAGGGGTTTCAAGGGAGTACAGGCGAGCAACGATACCTTTTGCATGGGTTTCATGTACGTTCTATCCATGTTCAGCTTCTTGTAGCTAAGCCCAGTTGGGGTCCGGATACCGAAACCTGCTCTTTGGGTTTGAGGGTGCCGAGACCCCTGTTTGCGCATATCCCAGGCTCAACCTCATGTACAATACGCAGCTGCGCGCTGCCTCATTGCCATGCTCGTCTGGCAAAATGCGTTTGAAGGTCCACCTTCATGGCGCGGGCAAATTTCAGGTCCTACGCATGCCAAGGCAATGAGCATTGGCATTTTTCTCTGCAGGCGCCTTGCGCAAGAAGATTGCTGCATCATCTAACTACCATTACGCACCCGAAGCAGGAACACGTGCAAACAAGACAGGACGCATTCAAAGACAATGCCTTAGTGGTTTGCAGCGCAAAGGGCATGAGTCTGAGCTGCCGAGGTGCTTTTGGAGTCTTCTAACCTGCGTTGTCCCGGGTATTCTTTCATCACACGACGCTTGTGGCTTGAGCTTCTGCAAAAGTTCGGAATTTACAAGCGTGAGACGTGAGAAGCGAAATGCTTTTTACGTGGTACTATCCCACCTGCATTCTCGTCTTAGACCAAGTCATGCCTTGTCTGAAGCTGGTGTACGCGTTCAGGCTGAATGCCCAGAAGCTGCTGACAGGGCTTGCAGAGGGCTATGGTCGGACTTGTCCTTGTGAGGCCCTTGCGATTGATAGTTTGCAATTGGCAATAGATATTCATCTGAGTCACATCGGAAAGTACCGAACATAGTCAGAATTCAAAATAAATGGGCAGGATGCCAGCGCAAACCTGAGCAAGTGATCTCCATTGCCTGCGGTGATGTCTCTTAGCCGAATATGAGCCCCAGATTTCTCACATTAAGTATCACCTCGAAAGGACGGGCTTGCGCAAACCACATTTGCCAGTGCAAGCCAACAAATACAAGAAATGCACATGCTGTCAGAAACTCAGATCATGATTACCTGACACCCTTTCTCCTGTCAGGAAACACCCTTGCAGGGCACTTCATAACCCCACACGGAACAAAATGACTCTCCATCACCAGCCTGGCCTCCCACCACACGCTGGAGTCCTTTTGTAGGGTGTACTTCCTCGGGAGACTCCAGGAGTTCAGGTCAGGTCAAAAGGGTGGGCAACACAAACAATGCGCCTTTGTTGAAGCTTGAAAACCAAGGCACAACTATGAGTCGACACATAGCTGGTCCGTGTCACTGTTACAAGCAACCCAAACCTCTTGCAGTAGACAAGAAGCATCCGTTGACAGGACCTGGACCCGCATGGTAGTTGGCAGATCAACTTGCGCTTTGATTCTGGATGCCCGTGGCATTTCCCGAGCCCCATATCGTAAATAGTGGAAAATCCCACCTCAAGTCCCCCTGATTTCTCCCTTGCACATGGACTAATTCGGAATGAGCATATGACACTGAACAGTGCTACATACGCAAAGAACATATTCCCCATATTCCAGCATATCGTCAAGGGTTCCTCGTGCACCTCTATTTTGAGAAACCCCATGGCATCGTCAGCTCATCCTGATGCCGAAGCGCTCCGTGACGCGTAGCAGCGGCGTAACAGAAACAGACTCGCCACCCGGCTCCTCTGCCTCCCAAACACATGGGGGTCTGTGAAATGGCGGGAACTTATGGACTCTAATAGGACCTAGAAATATGCGGGGATTACAGAGGCATTTTGGGGCTCCCTGTCCGGGAACATGAAAGGACAGCTTCCGCAATGCCCAAATGTTGACCGTCATGATCAATCCTCCGGAAATACAAAACGAGGGCCTCAGAAACCTACAGGGCCTGTGCAGTCGACTATACCAGTCTAGTCCGCAATGCTTACATCGGAAAACGCTTTGGATTTTGCTGCCAAAAGGGGATGTTGCTTCAGACATCCAGCTCTGCAAGACTTGTACGTATTACTCTCAGTGCAAGCAGGCAGAGAAGGTACCAACATGTGATTTGTCTTGCGTCGACTTTGTGATGTTGTTTGGCAGGATTGCCCTGGCAGTTGTGCAAGGCCTCGTTGCATAACCGGCCAGCTAGTTGGCAAGGCAAGCGGCACCTTGACCATGGCATGGAAGATGCCCAGCTGAAAAACTTCCAGCAGCTCGTAATCCTTGGCTGTCAGACTATCAAACCTGAGCTTGCATGGCTGCAGGTGCACATCGGACAACATCAGAATTCATCCCGAGGCAAAACCTCCTGGGATCCCGTTTGCAAACCGCACAGAGACGGTGACCGGCCCTCCTTACACCGCCAAACAGCAAACGGTCGCCCAAGTTCAACCACGCCACCAGGCCCTTCGTCTGCTTGGCATGCGTCTTGCGCAATTCCTGCCGTGCTTCGCTTGCGCATGGACACCGTACCGCCAACGCTGCGCAACTGACATTCACGATATTTTGCGGCGGCAAGACTGGCTGGGGCCTCTACGAGGTCTTCGGCCATCACCCGCCCTAATGACACAAAGTCCCCCTGATCCAGCAGGCCTTGGCTTGGGACTTGCGAGCAGCTTCCAGTAATATGGCTGCCTGTTGAGGGGTTCCTCCATCGTACTCATCGAGTAACAGCTGGACTATTTCCGAAAATATTCGTCTACCTACTCATTGCAATCAATCACGTCATCATCCCAGCTATTGAAGCTATACCAGTACCAATGCAAGGGATCCCAAGCTTCAAGCTGGCCAAGGAGCAGTTGACCTGTTTGTAGGCCTCCGCAGCCCCGGCGCGAAAGTCGCGCGCGCTCCTTGCACAACTTGTGAGCTCTTGTAGCTCATGTGCTGCCCCAACCTGCTGCTCACTCTAGCCCACTGCCGCTGTTCTGCAATCGAGGTTCCAGGTGTCTGGGTACACCACCTTTGGCGGAGCGATTCAATTTCTAATGCGTGCTGAATGGCGGCTCTCAGGTTTCCATGGTTGCCCCATGTTATCATGGAGGCGCTTCCAATTCAAGAAAAGGATGTGCATTTACGTCAGTGCCATGTGATTTCTTGTATAGGAAATTGCAGTGCAATGGGTCCGATGTTTGCAGCTGGCCGGACAAATCTGGCTTCTATGGGATGCGGGAGGTTGCGAAGGCCAGGCCGGGCCTCCATTGCTCGCAGCTTGACAGAGCTGATAACGTGGCGCACGTTGATCGTCTCAGCCAATACTGGGGGCTCTGCTTTAATTTGCCGGACATATTTCAAATACTATCATCTAGCTTCTTGCTCCTCGCGGTAGCAGTAGTAGTAGTAGTAGTCGTCGTAGTAGTAGTAGTAGTAGTAGTAGTAGTAGTAGAAGTAGTAGAAGTAGTAGTACTAGTAGTAGTAGTAGAAGCAGTAGTAGTAGTAGTAGTACTACTACTACTACTACTACTACTGCTACAAGTACAAAATGGTACAAACACTGTCAGGTAGTTGCAGGTAGTGGGACGAAAGAGTAATTCCTTTTCGCAAGACACCTACTCTACGGTGCACTCTGCTAGAATGCAATTCCCACAGCCCAAGCGCCAAAAGATCCAGCGTGCCCGCCAGGCTTCGCTGCAGCACCTTGCAGAGGCAACCGAAAGACGCAGACACTGTCAAGGCTGCTCTACGACATGCATGGTTCGAGCGTAATCACTACATTCCTTGTTGGTGGCACCCTTGGCTCGCCGCCACTGGCACAGTGCCGCAGCGTAGGCAATGGTCGCCAGCGCAAACGGGGCCGCATTCGCAGCATGGTGCGTTCAGGATGTGAACGGCTAAGTGCAACACTGTCAAACTGTGCATGAGGTGCTTGGGCAGGGCTCGAGTCGTGCTTCGGGCTGCTTTCTCATACAGGCTATGTTTCTCTCCTGCCGGTGGGCCCACACTACAATGCTTTTTTATCGTTCTATCCCATTCTTCCGTCACGAGTGCTGAAGGAATGTCCCACCTTGATCTTCTGAAACAAATTCGGTCTTTTGGTAAGCAGAGTGTCGTGTTAGGCGATTGTTATTGTCGCATCCTGCTCTTGCGGTTTGCTGGACGTTTCGCAAAGCCAAGCTCTCAGGCATGCTTGAACCAAGAGCCATCAAGCAAACAAAGATTCTGGATGTTGCATGTTTTCTCGGCTTTGCCACAGAGTTCCGAGGCCGGTGTGAGCAGGACCATGTCTTCCCAATGTTGAGACAAGCACCTTTGACTCAGCCCACGCCATCATGGGATGTCTCCCTTGTGGGTACGACTCTGTCACATTGTAACATGATGATGGCCAGCAAGTGGATTGGTCCACTGTGATCTAGACAGAGCATGCGAGCAAGACGCAGTGGTTAGAAATGAGCACTTGACAGCAGCCTGCGACAACTCTTGCTTGAAGCCTTCCCACATGTCGTCCTTACCAATGCTTGATAAAGAGGCCGCATTACTTTTTGCCTCCTGCGCCAGCTCTGCAATCCGTCCCATGGCCTTCGAATTCAACAGCCTCAGCTTGGAATATGTCCAAATCTTTCTTCCAGCGTGCAATCATATTTTCACAAGATTGTCCTTGACATCCTTAGTGTTATATGCATTTCAGCATGTGCCGAGAGTCTCCAGCAATTCCATCGTCGGCTGCCATTGGCAGCCCTTCTCGCAAGCATCGGCAGCACCATTGTATGTATACCTTAGCCATTGTCAAAAAATCGGCTCACACACGCTGACTTGGGGGTCACTGTGCGGACGGTGTGGCGTGAGGACCTATGAAAGGACAGGATGGAAGCCAAGCAACTCGTTGGCTACAATGCTGCTTTTGGCCATGCTTGAAAAAAGGGACAAAGCCAATGCCCATTGGGTGATGCGGGCACAGGCAGTGATTGTTGCGCTGCATGCCACAAGATCCACATCAACATGTGCATCCACCTGCGTTGGCCGATGCTTGGCTGCAACATCTGCAAAATCGATTTGCAACTTACATTGTAAAGCAAACACAGGAAAACATGCAATCAAGATGTCAAGTCGCCATCGTTTGAAACACAGACACTGCGCTACGCCGTTTGGATGCTCTCTCACAAGCACTAACAAGGCTACTGCACGTGAATTCGTTTGGGGACACAGAGCAAACTCGCATGTGCTCCACCAACACCAGTGCCGCAGTCCATTGCTCGGCGTTCTCACCTCGGATACGCTCACATCTTGGGACATTGTGTCCCTTCGGCTGACTTGACTGTCTGGGGTTTTGAAGGCCAGCAACTCAGGGCAGGACAAGCTTTTATTGCACTGGTTAAGCAAACCACGTCTGGGTCGAGTGCCAAACCATTCATCGACCACAGAATATGGAGAGCAAGTTGCCAGGTAGGTGCTCTCTCGCAGCATCTGATGGCGCCACTGCAAGTAAATTCGTTGGGGGTCACTTGTGCTCGTGTCATCATGGCTATGGCAGACAGCGCTTCCTCCCACCGATTTGCCACGCCACAAGCGCTGATGAAGCTGCTGTAACTAATGACATCAGGCAAAATGTGACGTGAGGTGAGCTGGCTGAGGACATCAAGTGCTAGGGGCCAGGAGCTGTACTGTGCACACGCCACGATAGCTCTGTTGTACCCGTACAGGTTAGGGACAGCCCGGGAACACTCCATAAAGTCCAACATGCCAACCACAATCGTCCATTCTCCCCGCTTGGAGCATGCACCAATGACACTGCAGTAGCAAACCACGTCTGGGTAAAATCTCTGATGAGGCATACTGGCCAATAAGTCCAGCCCAGCTGCCCAGGCATTCAAGCGCTCGTGCGACAAAATCAGAGCCCTGCGTTCGACGAACTGTTCGGCCCATTCCTCAGGCGTCATCTGCGATGGTTTCGTCAATGGTTTGGCGCGTGCGTCCGAGCAATTTTTGGCAGAGTCCGTTGCATGGCGGCTAGGGCACACTTTGGAGCAAGATGGCTGGCTCAAAGAGCGGATGGTCTTGGCATTCTGCCTTGGGCCCACGTGACCAACAACAGCCTTACAAACTTCCGAAAAGAGCACTTCTGCCGCTCGGACGGAGGTAGTTCTGCGCTGCGCCCTTCCCCCGCACAACTGGAGGCTGGCATAGAGCCCTTCGGCTAGTGCCGTCTCCCCCCTGGCTAGCGAGAAATTAAAACTGATATCTTGCTGAGCGGTGTGATGCCTCAGACGGGAAACATCTTGCCCCGTGTGCTATCAGTGGCTAGTGTCAAGATTCGGCATTCCTGGGCGACTTTTCCTCGGACAGGTGCTCAAAGCTTCGATTTCGTCCCAGTCACCCGCACGACAACCTGCAATCAGCTTGTGCTTTGCTGTGTCATATCCAAACACTGAATGCAATCAAGTTCGTATGAGCCGCGCAATGCTTGAGAAGCAAGAATTCAGTTGATAAGCCTTGCCCGTGTTGCCGCCCTCGAAGAGAGCACGGAAGGCGCTACCAAACGATTCCAAGCCATCAAATACGGTCCTGAGCACAGCAAGGAAAAAGCGCCGTTGCACGTTTAATCATCCAAGTAGAAATGCTTGCGTAGTACCGTCGTGATATGTTGAGGTTGTACGCAAAACTCACGAACTACAAGTTGCCCACAAGCCCAGGCGCTCTTCAACTTTGACTTTTCCTTCGTCTACCCACTTGGCCATGTCTTGCAAAAAGTTGCCCCGCTGCCCAAACAGCCACGGGAAACAATGAAAGCCCTCGATCCGCTGCGCGGTGTAAATCATGTTGGAAATGTAGATCTTGTTGGGCGACATCTTGGGGTTGTTATAATCTGAAATCACCCCACAGACCGCCACACGGCCGTTAGGTCGCAAGCATTTCATGGCAGCCTCAAAGTGCATGCCACCAACATTTTCGAAGTACATGTCGATGCCGGAAGGGGCGACCTTGCTCAATGCGATGATGAGGTCCCGCGTTGACTTGCAAACCTGCTTGATGCAAACAACTCCGAACAACGAAAGATTATACGTGTACCACACAGCAAATGCCTCTTGTCTGCTTACAGCCATCCGCTCCAAAACTTGCTTGAATCTAAAGTGACATTCCTTGCGGTTCTAACAGCATCGGGGCCTTGCACACACGCTTACATCCGGCATGTGTATTTCAATGCACTTTCCAGCTGATCGCCGACATTTGTAACCTGAGCCCCTTTGGTTCCAACCCTTCTTCACTTCAAGCCAAAGTGGCTAGCGAACCTTGAAGCTCTTTTGATTAGCAGTAGGCTACCTACTCGAGCTCAACCTGCCCTGCCGCTGCTAGTCTGAAGTTTGAAAGGGCTTAGCCGCTCTCACAAAACCAGCTCGGGTCACCTTGTAATCAATGCAGTGGTCGAAGCCAAACCGCTCCATAACAAGTTTGCACTTGTCAGGCCCTCCGGCCGAGCCGATGACTGTGCAGCCAAACACATGCTTCGCTATCATGCCGACCATCGACCCAACAGCTCCTGAACAAGCGAAGTTGCAAACAGCACTTGTCCTGCGGAAAAAATCCCTGGACCACCTGCCTGACACGGTGACACTACCTGATACAGCTCTCTTGTGGAATGCAACATTTGCCTGCGGCGCCGCTGACCCAAAGAACTTCACCGCGCTTAGGGCGCAAGATATCTGTAAGACCACCGTATGCCGTCGACCTGAATGCTCGCGGAGTGGAGCCAAAAACCATGTAGCCGCGTAACGCAAATCCTGAAAAGCCATCCAAGATTCCCTGGCATTCCCAAGGCCCCGATGCCCAGGCTGATGTTGTCCTTCCATGTCTCACCGACACAAATAAGCCCGTGAAGCTTGCATTTGGATGAAGTATGCCACGGTATGCTGTCTGTACATTTGCAAAGGCAAGTGCAAATGTCTGGGATATGCGCATGAAACTGATGCAGGCACTCCTCGTTGACCAAGCCGGTCAATCTCCGGAACATGGCAAGTTTTGCAGCCGGCACTGCCTGTATGTCGACGTACGGTAATTCAGCACCAAATAGATCACCGGGCTTCCAATCAGGAACATTGGATTCCAGGACCTTGCCTGCAACCAAGCCTAACATGGGCGTATTGGCCTTGAAATCCCCATCGGATCGGATTCGATACCGCATGTAGGGGTCAGCGCTGACGACAAAGAGCTGCACCAAAAGGCCATCGCCTAACTGAGGTCGTGGGAACTGCCGCATTTCGAAATGTTCTGGGCCAGGTATACCCTCATTTAAATTTGTCCGAAGGATAAGCGCATTCGCCATGGCCAACACGTCCGGGCGCGGGGCGCCACAAGGATGATTGGAATTGAGACCATCCGGCTGCAAGGTCAATTGCCATCTGCAAGTGATGCACACAGGTAGGGCAAATAACGGGTTGACTTGATGAATTGAGGCTGCTAGCCTCGCTGCTGCTGCTGCTGCTGCTGCTTTGCAGCCTTTGTGGTGTCGTCAGCATCCCACCTCATTCATTTACATCTTGGTCTTGCGCGCTGCGCCGCCGAGAACTGTGTTTGACTTCGCACTTCCACGTCTGTTTTCAAGCGCATCCATGCCCATGTTGACGCAGAAGTTTCCCGCTGTATTGGCTGGATTCTGAGTTGACATCACTTAACATGTAGCGGCTTCTACGAAGGCGTCAAATTCGGCACTTGCCCTCGCACGGCGCGCCAGAACTTAGCCGTGGCGGCGACATGCCCCTGATGCTCCACTGAACACCTGCCCAGGACCCAAAGACAAAGACATTGCAGTCTTCGGCCATCCCTGAGCTCCTTCCCTGCCGCACCCTCGAAGCATACGCGCTTGTTCAATTTGGGACTGCTTGGGCAGACAGGCACATTGCCGGCGAATTTTCGCGCTTGTGTCCCCTCCGACCGGAACCAGTCCTGTATTGGCACGCAACCCATCGGCCACAATGTACTGTTGCAACATTGAATGCAGTCTGCCAGTCGAGCAGCATCTCAAGTCTCGAGTTGGACATACTTGTACATATTTTTGCTTGTACATATTTTTGCCCTCGCCCAACAAAACTCCAATGCACTCGGAACTTTGTGGACTCCCATCACACGGTGCCATCTTGCCACAACGCTATTCAAACGAACGGTACTGATAGCAGCCGTGGAGGCCGCGGCCGAACGACATCTAACGACAATGACGGTGGCGGCGACGATTACCATTACTGCAGGCTGCTACCTCTCCTGCTGCTGCAGTGCAAGTTTTCCCGTCCCCAACCCCGCGAGAAGGAAGACAGTTTATAATCTGCCGCCTCTTTCTGGGATGCGTGCTTTTGACAGCGATGAGATGACTGCATACACAATTCCCACATGGAGACGCAAGCATCATTTTTGAATCTAAGGATCGCATGCACAGGCAGAAATCAAGTCAAAGCACCAAAACAGGAACTGTTGCCCGAAATGGTGCCAACATCTCGTCGGCTGTTGATGGGCCCAATTAGACCAGACCAAGCCTTCACCAATCGATTAGTCTATAGAATGATGCACCCACACCGAGCACCATAATGTCAATTCGCCGCAAATGATTTAACTGCAAGATTCAGCTGCTGCTGCAGTTTGCATATCCCGTCACTTCATTGACCCCAAGCTCACTTCGGACAAAGCAATGCGGCTGCTACAATCCTTGGCGGCAAGTTGTGCAAAAGCTGCCTCTGGATAGTACGATTGTGCAAGCATGATGACATTAGTAGCAATCTGTATCGCCATGGGCCTCTTTCCACTTGGGGGAAGCGGTGTCAGTCACGCTGTTTTTGGACATGGCCAAAAATGGACCACGGGCACTAGTTCCTGAGGATAACAAAAAAGTGACGCGAGACAGTCGTACCAAATAAGAATAGTAATATAGCACCAATAATGATAGTGAATGGTAGCGATCGTAATAGCAATAGTAATAGTAGTAGCATGCTTGGGCGAAGAAAAAGCAGGATTGCAAGGTACCAACAGCACACCACTGAACTTCACATAGATGACTATATGATCCAGACCAGCGTGCAAAGGATGGACATCACCTCTACAAATTTAGCTCTCGACACGCCTGCTGCAATTGTACTGGGTACATGCTATCACATCCTCACCACAAACGTTAATCTTGCCCAAACTTGTGCCTCAAGCCCTTAATTTTTCAGCCAAGCAGCCCTGTGCTCTCTGGGCACTCCTGGGTTCGGTTGCAGAACTCCAAAGGTTTCTCAGAACGCCGCTTTCAAACTGGATCTTGGAGCTTGGCTCAGTGAACCGTGGGATAGCAATGCTAAACTACAAGACATAGGCCAATAACTTGTTAGAAGGACCCTGCGGTGGTCTCTGCTTGAGGGCCTGTGGCTTGCTTCACAAGCTCGCGTGGATTCATGTGGAGTTTTATGAAGCAGTCAAACCTGGGCATCCCTGAGTTACCGCCCTCGAACCCTGACTACCGTGCAGCCCATGCTAGAAAATGGAAATCCGACAGGGCAAAACACAGGCATTGTAGATAACCCTTGGTCTGGTCAAAGAAATGCCTTGTAATCAAACAGGTACATAATCCCAGCGCTTGCTCGATCACCAGACTCCTGCAAACTCAGGTAAGCCAGCAGTGTGCAGTTGAGATGCAGTGATGTTCAGAGTTTCGTTGCCGATCGGAGCAATCGCTGGAGGAGGCAGCACCTAACATCAGAACTATCACCCATCATCATCGCCATTCGTATGCTTGACGTTAGCAGCGCGAGTGCAGTAACAATCAACAAATCATACAAGAGCCAGTGCTACGAGATTGATGATGCGTAAGAGCCCTCTGCTGACCTATGTTGATTGAACTGCCATGACTGATTCTTGCTATACGAGGTTACATTTCTAGCCCGGTAACATGACTACGGTGATGATTGCCAGGGACGAGGCCCAGCTAAGCTTAAGGTGGGTGTCTTGGCTGCAGCTTAATGTACACGGCCCAAGTCAGCAAAGCTCCTTTTAGCATGGGCACACAACGATTATATTTCAGAAGCCACGGCACTGGGGAATATTTTTTGCTGGTTCATGCATTTGGTTCATTGCGGGGCTTGTGCTGTCGCCGCTCTCGTTTGGCGCATTCTGCACACATCGCAGACGCAACCTAAGCTTTGGCCAAGATGCACTCCAGTCCACCACTGTGTCTACGCGCTTCTCGTGCTGGACCTTCATCCTTATGGCCGGCACATGCAGGCTGTTGTTGAATGACTCAAAATTCAAGAAGTAAACGAGAAATCATGCAGGCACGTGTCACACCTCGCGCCGAAACTTTTACAACAAATCCTAGAGCAATCTGGAAATCCAAAACTCATCTTTGACACTCGTGCAGGACGCTTGGAAATTCTGAGCTTGCCCGAGGCTCCAGAGCTCCTTGCTCGGACATTTGGGTCTGGTGTGCCTAAGTGATGTCGTCGTGTTTTTCATCTTGTGGGGAGGCTGCTTTTTTGAAGTGGTGGCCAGGAAGCGCCACTGGTTCGAGGAATGATTGAGCTGAGTTTGCAGGAGGCACCCGTGTTTAACGCTGTCGGTCTTAGTCACACTTTCCAAGGACCCTCATGTGCTGGCGTAAGTTGCTTGTACTCCATGGGGGCCACGTCTGAGGGCACAAAGTCGCACTTGTCGACCTGCTTGAACCCTACAAAAGCACCTCTTTAACCTGTGCACCCGCCACAACTCAGGCCAATCCCTATCCCACAAGTTCCTGCCGCGCTCCTGCCTCCGCAGCTGGGGCATCCCATGTGCTGTTAACGTGGTTGCTTGTGTACGCCTTCTGCCTTAGCTCCCGCATTTCATAAGACTGGTCTGTGGAAGTCTGCAGACCTCTTTAATGCTCACGTCCTGATACTCTGAGGCTGAGAGGCCGAGACATGGGCGGCCAAGTGGCAAATTGAAGTAGTTGTCCAAGAGATAAAGCTTGTCCTGCTACAAGTGTTGAAGGCAAGTCATGCGTCATAAGCTGGGGGGATGCTATAGCCAGTGAGGTGCTCCAAACATACGAGTCATGACTGACCCAATCCAGATTGGCCCATTGGTTAGTATGCTTGAGCAACGTCCAGCAAACCTCCCAGCCTGCCCGGCAAGGAAGCCTGGCGACAGTGTGAGGCCATACTCCTCCTTGTCCTGACTTGAAGCTTTCAGCGGCTTCTGGCGTAATATTCTCAAGCTGTCGTTCCAGTATATAGGTGGTTCAGCGTCCTGTAATTTGAAACGCATCTTGCAAGCATTGTGTAAGTCGCGGGCCATGGACCACTGGAACGCAACAGCGCCGCTCATGAACTCCCCCATGTCCTGGGGGAGGCTTTCATGTAGACTTGGCAAGCCGAGCCCGCGAGTTCCAAGTCTTAAGTACGATTCCTATCATCTACTGTGACCAATGTTACTGTCCACCATCAGTCACCAAAATGTGTAATTGTGGCCGTGCCATACTGCAGAGCCGCTACTGGCATGACCATGCCCACAAACCCTAAACCCTAAGCCCTAAACCGTGGCGGACTCCGGAAGTTCAAAGCGATGCCTCGCCGAGGAAATGCTTCACATCTGGCCAAGTTCGCCCGCCTGCAGGGCTACTGGATGATGGCACTCCTCAAAGTTAGGGTCCGTCAATATGCAAAAACAAATCCTTTCTGTAAAGGCGTACAAATAAAGGCCGTTGTTTTGAGCACGGTCAAGCATGAGTTCCAAGGCTTGTCCTATCATTTAGGCAGGGCAACGTAGCTAAGCACATGTTGGCAATTGTTCTCTTTGGATTTTTCGACTTTGCACGTGAGACCATGCATGCTGGCTACGCATGCATGCCATGTCTGGACACTTTCAAGCAATATCTTCATGCTGGTAGGGAAACCCAGTCCTATGGACTCTAGTACTCCCAATATGCTTGCCATTTTCTGCGTGCTGTTTTCCATAATGAGGGGAGCCCAAGGCATCATGGCCCCTGTTAAAAGGCAGCAGCCCTAACACCTTAACACGCAAGCCCAGCCCCAACACCTTAACACCCAAGGGTCTGAAGTGCCAAAATCCCTCAGTGCTTCAATTTAATCCGGAACGACTTCAGGCCTGGGTATGGGCATTTCGTCTTGAACTTGCCCAAGTTGCAGCCAAACCTCAGTCAATGCTGTATCAACAATTGCCTATCTCCCGTAAAGCCGGAACCATGAGCATAGCTGTTTTGACCTCTTGTAACCCTACATTACATGAACCCCCTACATTCGTGACGATTGCGACATTTCCTAAGACTGCGGAGGAATTCTCGCTTTTGGCTTTTGACGTGGATTCACGTTTCCCTAGCGGCGACGGCAACAGGAATGGCAGATAAAGTCGCTACATGTCTTCACTAGAAGATGCAGACATGCAACGAAATCCTTCCTGGGAGCCCTCTCCACGCAAGCGCGCAACTTTGATGGTTAAGCATATCTGCCGTGCACAGTGTATCAGACCCACAAAACAACTTGTTAAACGGCGTTGTCTCTAAACCAAGCTTGCAAGCATCCGGGCATTCGGATACACGCAAAGATCGAACTCTGCTGTAGCAGGCACTTCGCACTTGAGTGCTGGAAGTAAATCGCGGCTCCCCAAGCTGCTGTCCCCGTCCCCAAACGCCCCTGCTTCCGTCCATGCAGCTCGCTGAAAATGAATGGCACGGAGAAGTCCTCGAAATCCTCCGAGCACACTTCATCCCATGGCCCCCTGCATCCGTTTTTCCTACTTCAGCTGAAGAAGCCACCCATTGAATGGCGCAGACTACTCCTTCGCCGCAAACCCAGGTCCTGCTTGATATCCTTGTACGGAGAATACTGGAAGTTGTCGGCCTTTCCATCCCCAGGATACGTTTCCTGAGCTCAGAAAGCACGGGAAAGACTAAAGACTCCCATTATGATGGCTGCTGTCCGAACCTCACCGCTTAATTGCCAGCATCTTTCACATACCCAGCTGCGACATGCTGCAACCAACAGTTGCTGCACATGCTGATGCTCCTCTGATGCTAGTCCTGGCACGCTGGCTGTGGTTGTGACGGTGCCGTTTTTGTTGCTGCTGCTGCTTGAGGGGGTGCTGGTGGTGGCGGCGGCGTTCGTAGTGGTGGCGGCGGCGGAAGCTGCGGCCCTTGCCGCAAGGATCATCAACTCCTAAAATCTTGTGTGCAGTAGCCATAGGAATATATTGTCATAGACTATAGACATCTCGAGAAGTCTGTCATTATCCGCAATCGCCATCTTCTTCATCATCATCATCATCAGGTCTTTGCTTAAAAAAAGAGAACAATTTGATTCAAAAGCTTGATCTCCATATTGGTCCCTGGGTGTCATATCTGGCTGTATAAATTCCCCAAAGCCATTCCAGCATCCCTTACTACAACCAGCAGTAAGTTACCGAGCCAAGCAGCGTCGCACCAGGAGTAGACGTTGAGGCCATAGGCGTCCACGGCGTCAGCGTCGCTCTCCAAGGCGCAGGTCAAATAACTTAGCTCAAGCAAGATTTCAATTTGGAAAGGACCTTTGTGGCACTTTTTACCGTAAGAGACCAAGCGGTGGGGTACTTCAGGCCTGACTGAACCTTTCCTGGTCTGAACTTGGGTAGCCAACAACTCTGATCTCAAACTTTGAGCACCTAAATCTGTTGCTTTCTGAGCCACTCAGCCACCACCTCTCGCAGTGGTAGTCAAGGCCATGATGATGTGCACATGCCCATGAGCCGCTTGGACTAACACGCACACACCACATGCTTAAGTTGCAGCTGAATAATTCCATGGGCTGCCAGTCTGAGCCTCCAGGGCTTTCAATAGTGGGACTTTGCTGGGAACATGGAGGCAACTGGAGCATGCCACTTGGTCCCAAGTAAAAAGTTGAATGCTACATCCAACACGCATCCGCCCTAGCAGGGTAAAATGAAGACTTTTATCGAGCGCGAGCATCGAACTAGTCGATGTCAACTCAATGTATGATGTGTGTTGACTTCTGAAAATTGTGACATCTTATCCCAGGCATCGCAGCTACACCAAGCCTTTCGGGCAATGCCGCCGCCGGTGTCGACATCGGAGTAAATCAATGGCACCTTACCTTGGGTCAGGCTCATTTCTGAAGCTTGTGTAACTTACACGGCACAACCCCATCTTCAACATGTACTTGCGGATTTGCTGCCTGTAGCATATGCCGGCTTTCTTTACAACAAGGTTCTTGCCGTTCGTTGTTGTCACTACTATGCTGAGTGTCGGTTTCTCAGAGCTGAGAGACATTGCTGTAAGACGTTTGCATGGCCTTCATGACCATCTGAATATGGTTGCCACAAGATGATGCAAACCGGGCGTGCTCCTTTCGTTGAAGGTTCTGTTTTTGTGTTTTGGCTTCTGGCTTTCTGCTTTTGGCTGGTGATTATGATGTCTGCTTTCTTCTCTTTCTGCTTTCTGCCTACCATTCTTGGCCGCTGCTCCTTGGGAACCACAACAGCAACAACACCTACTCCTCCTCCTGCCGCTGCCACTGCCAGCAGCAGTAGCAGCAGCAGTAGCAGCACCACATGTCCTGCCTGAAGCGTTCCCACTTCTGCTACTCCTACTTGTGCTCGGCATTCATGACTGCCCGGAGCAGTGACCACTCCCATATTCACTGGCAGCAGGATGAATCAGATTTTGGTCTCAACAGACAAGGCGAGCTGCGCATGCTCTCAGAGCAGTCGTCCTGCTGGCTGGTGACTCTTCTCAAAGCCATCTCTTTCTGAACGGTTTTGTGAGCTATCTTGAGGCTAAAAATCTTGAGATCTACATTGGAGGAAAGAGGCTACATGCCCTAGCAGTGAAGCCCGATAATTCGATTTAATGCGAACGTTGATTTTTTTGGCATTCAGGGGCAACGTTGGACATGCCGCTGAATGTAACAATGTAAAGATTGTGACATTCTAGGCTTGGCAGAATCCCTTGTGGCAGTGCGTGTGCCTGTTCAAGGCTTCTTATACCCAGGGTCCCAGCATGGTAGATTTGTAATAGGACTCCTGCTTGAGGACAGGATCACGGAAATCCCGGCAAGAAATTCCATATGCAATCCGAATGAAGGAAGCGAGCTTCTACTGCATGTTGACAAAGTAGGACTCAACCCATGTCGAACCCATGTTCCTTTGACAGGTAAAAGCTGGAGGCATAAATCTGAAGCTCACAGCAAATCTATCCAGGGTTCTAGAGGATCTGTCTTGGCATTTGCAGTGAGCATTCTACGCAGATCCACGCAGGCTTTGGCCAGCATCGCCAGGCCTGATAGTTGTGCAAGTCCCGCACGAAGGCTTTGACGCAGGGGAAGGCTGAGTAGCCATTCCTGTGTAGCATGCGAGTGTGGATGCAAAGCTCAAGAAATTCATGCGCAACCCCAATGCGGGCACGAGCGGCCATCTAGAAGAATGCTCTGCGCGTCATGAAGCTTGGAGTAGCTGAGCACTGACTAAGTGACGTTTGCAGATTACTGACCTCAGTTTGCCAGCCTATGCCGGGCACATGTCCATCTGGGACCCAGGCTTGTCCAGCTGTGCCAGCTCGTTGGCTGCAGTGAACAAGAGGGTATTGTTGTACTGGCTAAACCTTGGAATTTGTGCCGGCAAGGTTCAAAGCACTCGGAAGTTCATGGCTGGAAAATGCAGACACAAGAAGTGCGACCCAATAATGATTGGTCCACGCAGGGGCTAGGCTGGGCTTCAGCGCACCCCCTGGACCTTCTAAAATTTTCATGGTCCTAAGCTCCAGCAGAGACGCTCCTTCATCAAAGTCTTGGCAAATCCGAGCAGATTGACGCCCACATTGCCGTAATCTTCCATGTCCTTTTGCTACAGACGGTGATCATGCAGATCATCTAGACAACTGTAGATTTCTGAGAATAGCTTCTTAGCTCGAGGAGCTGAGCTGAGATCTGTTGCCTCACCTTCTTCCTGACCAGGCAACAGGCAACGCCTGCTTGTGCAGCCCGTCCAGCAGCTAGTGCGTTAAGGGTGCCGACGCCTGCTGAATCTGTAAACAGACTGTGCAGAGTTCCTGCAAATTCAGAACTCACACCATTACTCAGCACGTCGCAGCGCCTAAACCCCCCAAAAAATCCATCATATGCTACGCAATAGTCATTCCCCAGAAGCCAACGCAAAAAGGATGCGATGGTGGATCAGAGCTGAATCCAGCACCCAGTTGAAAGGAAGCTCCTGCACCGCAATCTAACCCTAAACCCTCTCCTTCGTGTAGCACTCTGGGGCGGGGAATGCGGGCAGGAAGCCATAGTCCTCGTAGGATGGCTGGGCTGCTTTGCTTTGGTGTGGAAGCTTGCAACATCTTGAAACTGTGGTGGAGCAAGTCTTGATAGCCTGCTCTGTACCCCTGACTCTGACTAGGTGCTGGTCAAAAGAACCAAAGGTGACCTGCTTTTGATAACAAACTTTCCTGCCGCCAATGCCAATGAACTCAGTACTTCTTGCAACAAGAACTGTGCAACAGCCAACGTCACTGAAATCTGCAGTACATCCAAATCCAAGGCACCTTTCCCGTCAAAGGCACGATCGCCTTGGCTTGCGTTTGGGCTTCAGAATCGGCTGCTTTGGGGGGTGCCTTTTCTGCGCGAATGCTATTGCAGAAGCTGTTTCATCAGCAATTCTGACCCTTGAGATCTTCGCTCCGTGCCAAGCAGCGTAGATGCCCAGGGATGCCGCCTTCTTCATGAACTTCGCGTGGCTCAAGCGAGGGTCCAACTTGGACAGCATAGGCTGCACTGCTTGAGGGGGGCGTGTTGCAGGACTGGAGTCACATCTAACAAACTTAGAGTACCGGAACTGGTCTTCATGCAGCTGCAGCGTCATTGTACAGGCGGATCGTGTTGGCACCCATCGCTGCCATCCTGTGAGACCCTATAGCTTAAGAAGTGCAGGAGGAGCAACAGAAGGGGCAGCAGCAGTAGGAGCAGGAGCGGCTGGGGTTATAGCAATAGCAGCAGCCTGTGTCAATTATCGTTGCAGTGGTTAGATTCCCAGTAGCACATAACAACTGAAATTGTCATAGGGCTCGTGAAATTTATGGCGCGAAAGCTTCGCATGCTTTGGATGAGCAGTGACGCTGTAGCAGTCGCCGATAGGTACCACCTCTTGCAGTAAGCACGATGCAGGGATGAGCCTAGCGAGGCTTCACGACATGTACAGTGAACATGATCTTGCAAAGTGGCCATGTTGGAGTCGGGTGTTCTGATCAACTAGAACACCAGTTTGCTTGATAATGCTTCTCCACACGAGCTGAGGGAATCATCCGAGTAATAGTTCTTGTGCAAGCAAAACTTCCGAACCTGCCCTGTCAGCTTCCGAGCTATATGCCAAACTCAAAGAGGGCGTGTTTGGTCCAAGCAATCAACTGATTCGCTCCTTGAAGCATTGATGCCATACATGGAAACTCTCAGCTGGAGTTGTCACTGGTGTCTTTCACAAACCCTTTTACCATTGCTTCTCTGGTTTTCTCTGCAGTGCTTCGAGTAGTTCTGCGCATACTGTACGGTTGACCGACCAAATCTGTGCATACCTATTCCTGTGATGAGCGGCAGCTTTGCAACTTCGATGATTCCTGCAAACATTGCATACCGAAACCGTGATGATTCTATGTAACAAAGCCGCCTTCACTCGTGTTCTCACATACTGTATTAGGTTCTGGCGGTACGTACCTCACTCCCTCCAAAGCATGGCTCTTGTTGACAAAATTCTCTTCACGGTAGTTCCTGCTATTCCCCAGCAGGCTTAAAATGCATTGATGAATTTTCCCAGCATTGGATTTCGGTACTATCTGGGGAGTCATCAAGGGATACCACGCTTTACAACAGCCTCCTAAGATTCGTTCCAAACTTAGGGGTCACTGGCCACCACATCTCAGACGGGCCACGCTTCCAAGTCTTCAGTCCAGAACTCCTGCGGGTAATGATCTCAATTCTCGCACACATATGCGCAGAACGCAGCCGTCATTGCAACAGTTGTCAAACCAACAGCAGCAGGAGGTGTGCATTGTAGTTCTACAGCGTTGCGCTCGCCAAGTTGCTGGAAGATGAGAGCAGAAGAGAAAACAAGAGTGACAAAGCCATTGACAATGCAATGGCAAGTAAAATGGTATGGCTCATAGCAGCACTAGAAAATATTCGAAGCAGGCTCAGAGCCCAATGCCCAAAGACGTCCTCCTTGCTATCTTCGACGACGTCAGCAGTGTAACCCCAGTAGCCTGCAAAGGACACTTGCCAAGCTTGGAGCTTGTGTTCCACTCGTCTGCTGGGGAACATGCCTGCACTCCTTGAATGCGCTGCAGCCAAGCATGTGTGGCCACGCCAAACTTGGGCTGAAGTTTGGCAAACTTCCGCCCTGACGCCTTTGGCTTGAAAGCATACAGCCCGACAGCCTCCCTGTAAATCTTGAGCTGTTTATCTTGCAGCGCTCGTGATCCCAAGGCCCAAAGGTCCGCACTCTCTGTGGCCAATAGTATTAGTATTAGTATTGTTACTCCTTTCATTAATATTACTACAACTATTATTAATATCCTTTGTGTTGTTATTATTGTTCTTATTACTACTAGTATGAGAAGCTTGCATGTAAGGCTTTGGGTTTGTAGCTTTTGGGTCCGGCCTCCTTTGGGTTCTCCCGGCACGCACTTGTCCACCCAGCCATTGACATGTACCGAGGGCCCAAAAGAATGGTCGTACTTCCTCAGCTGCCAGGGTCCTTTAGCACGGCGAAGCACGCTTTACCTTTCTGAGCGTCTTTCGTGCTCACTTGAGGAGGGATCCAATCACGTTTGTAAAGCCCATCTAGCTAAATAATAGACCAGGACCTGGAGCTCTCCAATCCTTGAAGACACATTTTACAGTAAGAAGATTACGTTTTACAGGGGCCAATTAGGGTAGAGGGTTTAGGCGGGCTGAACAAGGTGTTCGGCGTCAGGGGTGGTAGAAGAATGAACCCTAAGTGATTAGTGACGCCCTGAGTGCCTAGGCTCCACCACCTCTCCCACCCCTCACCCCTCCACCCCTCCGAGTGGAGAGTTGGAGGGGTGGAGGGCAATCGTTTATAGTGATTTCGTACATTGGAGATGTCAAACCATGTCCTAGATTTCCTTCTTAATTTCACCATGATAGTCTTTGTAGCCGATAAGTAAATAGATTCTACGCAAGTCTTCCAAAAAGATTCAATAAGTATCACCGCTAGCATTAGATTGCATCTTAGTCCTGGCCTTCTTTTGCTTGGGCATTGTTAGGGGGACACTAGAACTTGATAGAACGCTTTCGTAAAAGCTCGAGAGGGACCGAACTATAACCGGATCTCCCAGTGCTTCATCTGCTGCGGCATGAAACACATCAGCCAGGAGGCTCATTTCTTGGATTGTACGCAACGCCTTTGGCGAAGAAGCGCCTTCCCGTAACCTCAACAGCAATGCATTAGTAGGCGCCGCGGTGGCACCGGCCTGCTGTTCCTACCTTACACCCTGCATCATTCAGCCTCTAGTAGCTCAGCTCAACATCTTGCAAACTGCTGCGCAAGCCAAGGTTCGGAATCGTAGAGGAAGTTTCCACGCGAAACAATCGGATTCAGTGTCTCGTAAGTCTTGGGAGCCTCAGTGGAGCCGGATCCCTACAGGCAGCAAAACCAGCACCGGCTGCAAATCATGTGTGCTCGAGTCTTCCAAAATCGTTTACCTGAAATACTTTCACCAAGCCTTGGGATCCCGAATCATCCCGAATCTGTCAACTAGGTCTGCAGGCATCGTGGAGGGCAAACTATAGGTGCTACTGCTTTTTCTGCTGCTGCTACTCCTGGCCGCGACTACCACGACCACTACTACTGGTGCCGTCGCTGCGGCTGCGGCTGCGGCGGCTGCTGCTGCTGCTGCTGGTGCTGCTGCTGGTGCTGCTGCTGCTGCTTCTGCCGCAGCCCCTTCCACCTGCACCGCCACCGCCAACACTTGTAGAATGAACATGGCAACTACTAGTTTTCACGGGTAATATTGCTAGAAAGACGAAGGCGTCTGCTTGAGCCACACAATGCTGACCAAGTGCAGGCTGCTTTGGCCGGGCAGGAAGTGAATCCTTGCGTCGCAAGCGTAAGCTTGAGATAATAAAAATGGTAGCAAACCCGGTGCCCGGCAGATGAAGCTGATCGTTCTGAGCTAATCAATCTGACCAGGCATTGAAGTGCAGCTGGCTACTTTTTAAGGCCTAACTAAAGCGACGAACGAGATGAAAGTCAAGGATCTCACAAGCGCTGCTTTCAGCAGCAACTGCATGCAGAGCGCATGACTCTGTCTCAAACAAAGCCCGGAATGTCCAAGCACTGATGGCCCTATGAAGTCTCTCCTGAATTTCCGATAAGCACCACATCCAAACAAAGTTGAAGGTCAGTGCTGACGGATGGCCTTGTGAGTTGATCACAACATACAAGCGTGTGCCAACCCCTCGTCAATGTTGCTCCAATCTGAGAGGCATGTGGGACCTAGATGTAAGCAGGCATGCCCATGACACTCAAGCCATTACAATACCAAAAAGGTGCCCTAGAGCATACCAGACAACTGCAGATACCATATTTTTCATATTTTTCAAGTTCTTCGAGCCAAGAATCCATTGTCTTTGCCGGTGGCGGCTGCGTGTGATGCTCAATCTTAGCCTGCGGTGAATTTGCACTGCTTGCACACGCCTATTTTTTGTAACTTCAGGACCTTTTTGTAACTTCAGGACCCTTGTGAACCCATCAGCGATTCAACTCCCTTTAGCCTGCCACTCGAGATGAGACTTCCTTCGGCTCTACACGTCGCAACTTGAGGTCCCCAAATATGGGCTTCCTGACGAAGCCCCACTCTGGATAGCCTTACAGCGTACGGGGACACTTGGGCACAGAATTTCAGACAGAGGACTACCACGACGGATGTCCCCAACAAGTGAATCCGGCACTATTTTGAACAGCCCATCGCAGAAACACTCACAAACCCCGGAAGCTATCCATCCTTGTGCTTGGAGCTATGCCAGCCTCCACAGCTCCTGGTGAAGGTGCTGGAGCTTCTTCTACCGCCTCTCAGCACACAAGAATCCCACAACCCAAAAGATGCTACGACAACAATACAAACTCAAGCTTCTCCGGCAAACATCATGGAAGGATGCTTTCCCTTTGAGCCCTGTTCAGTATGATGCTCCTAGTCTGCTGCAACCCAGTATCTTCAGCCGGCTGGAAGACTTGCGCGACCTATGATATTTGTATCTCTGTGCAGCTACTTGCTCCAATCACCATGCACACTGATGTTTTTCATGCATGCACATTTCTGTGAGAAGTTGTCTTCTACTGTGCCGCGCATCACCGTCACATCACATCATCAAATCCTCGTCGGACGCCTCTGGTTCACACTGGGAGTACCACTCGTTGTTCATCACGCATTTGCCGCCTTGCTGATGGCAGAATAAACTTGTGCGCATGAACACGGCAATTTGGAGGACACGTGCCGACCTGCAACAAGCCACACGAACGTCGGATCTGTGCAGTAGATGGCCGGCATTGCTTAGTAAAAGCACATGGAGTCTGGTCCAAACACTGAAACCCTACTTCTTGAAGGGACTTACTTGCAGTGACAGTCACAAAACGACCCAGGACACCTTGTACCTTGCCTCTTGCAAACCAACCAACCTCTACAGATCCAATGCCTTTCAAGGTTCCACTGAAAACTTGGCGAAAACAATAATCTTAAAAATACATCTAATTTGTACATGACTAGTCGGATCCACATTTATGAATCACCAAGAAGGACCCATAACTCTTGGGGCATGGCAGCTTCGACAAATAAATGATCTCCTCATATACCCCCTTTTTACTATAATCCTTAGTATAAGAACCCAAAGAAAGACCCCCAATTTACGGAAATGCATCAGCCCAGCTGCCATCTGGGCAGGTGGTCGGCCCCTGGCATTGGAATGAGTTGTGAACGTTCCAAGAAGCTATCGGAATATTCTGGCATCTTAGGTCCTACTACAAGCTAGACAAAGACGTTTCCAGACAAGACAGGCCTCCTGGAATGTGAATTTTACGCGACGATTCATGAACTGGCTCAACACAAGCAAAGTAGTTACAGGATCGCGCTCTGTCTGGCTGTATGCGGCAAATTCCTGATCTGCTGAAGGTTGCTCTCTGCCTCTCTTCCCGCTGGAGAGTTCAAAGATTCTACCCCTGAAGGTCCTTTGCACACAGTTTCAGCCACTCATAATGCGACCTGCATTCCTTGCATGACAAATGCTTGCCGCCTGCCTTCCACTTTGCACCACCGCATTGACCTGGTGAGGCTGTTCTTCAAACATGACTTTTAGATCCTGAATCATACTTCAAGGATCAAGCCCTGGTCATACATCTGCGGATGCGAAAAGCAAAGCGTCCGCACCTAGTTGGCTGTAGTGTGTGGGCGTGTGCAAAGTTGCAGCAATCGTAAGGTCCGATATGTTTTATGGGATAGCGCCCGCGACAAGCAATATGCAATCATGCTCCGGGTCTTGTAGGCTTTCTGATTCCTGACTCACCCCAAAAGAAGATGCTGATGCATCCAGGCAGCCGTACATTGTTGCGACTGGACCCTTTTTCTGCAGGGCATGCCGTTGCAGTGCGTTCCTGACGTGCCGAGAAACTCATTCACCAGAACAGTGCTTGACTCTGTGCTCTGCAAAGTTTCCTCTTTCAAGCATGGACTTGCCCTCAGTCAAAGCGGCATGCTGCGCAGCTTAGCGGCTTATCAGCCCCCCCCCAAATGCTGACGAGGCACAGCGCGCATTCCTCGTTCGCTGCGCATTCGCTATCCTTAGTGGCAAAATTTCCCCTACCATGCAGGTGGCACGTAGTAACTTGGGAAGCATCTTTGGATAAGTGGCGCTGGCTGCAGCTTTCCTGACTCGACCAACTGCCCCAACAACCCTCAGGTGCCCGATCTCGGATCTGCGACTCAGCGCACACATGTGCAACTCGAATCTCAAAAAAACCTTACCCCTTAACATGTCTTCGCTTGGCATTCCTGCTGATTCATCACAAGTGCGGGCCCACCACCCACCACCCTATCGATCTCCTTAAATCCGGATGAACATTCTGACATCCTGGCAACATGGAGCCGGAGTCGCCGCAATTCTGTCCATGTAGCTGATGCCCATCAAATTAGCAGCCCAACATTGCTTACACATGAAACACAAGCTCTCTTCCGTGTTCATCCCATGCTTACATCAATTTCGGACAGTCTCTTCTGCAAGCAGTTGCGGGACTTGGTCCGCGCCTGCAACTGCAAACGTAAGATTTGACTGCAACGTGTGTGCCTAGTTGGAAGTTGCTTGGATGACGGCATGTGTGTCTTGAACCTTGCATGAGCTCCTGTTGTCGTTCCTGCTCTTGGCAGTGTCAGCAAATGGAATGATAATGCCATTTCCCTGCCTGTTGCAGCCAGGAGAGATGCGAAACAAAAGCCTGGCATGTCTTTTCAAACAGGGCGAGAACAAGGGCAGAAATCCAAGCTCGTTGCGACTTTGACCAGCAAGGAGGCTCTCCTTCCTACTGATGCACTGATGCATGTCACCCTAACGGAAATGGCCTTGCACCAGTCGTTGCACCATCGTGCTCTAACGCTTTTCACGTGGAAAACTTGAAGCAAAGAGCCAAAAGTGATCTGCAGGAGCGGCGAAGACATGATCGCTGCGAAGCATCTTATCATAGGACTCAGCAACCAGCCTTGCCTTGCAACTGAGTTGTGGTAAAATTCGTGCCCAACGTGATCTGACTCATAATGCGTTCTCTTCGTACGACAGGCAGTAAACCTTGAGCTGAAATTGGCACCTGATTACATCCGCCTTTTGAAAAGCAAGTGGTTCATAGTACACAAGATGTTGAGAACGCACTGAAGAGTGCAGCGCACAAGGCTTACTCTCACCTGGCGCGCAGGGTGCGAGTATGTGAGAAGTTCACTTGCTGGAGAGTCACGGTGCTCCCGTCAAGTCGAATCAGCACCCTCAAAACCCTGAAGCTGACAATTGGCGTACTTGTGATGTTTGTCGGTAACAGGTACCACTGACTGGCCTCTGGCAAGAACTCAGACCATGACATGCGAGATGTCGTTCATGCAGAAATACACATTGCGTCATACCAATGACATCAAAAACTTGCGGCGAGCCACTCTGACCCAACGTATTTGCGTTGATTTCTTGTAGCCCTGTCCTGACACAACTCACCTCACCTTTCAACGAAACTTGTTTCGAGCTCGCTTGGCGCAAACTTGACTATACAAAGTTTGCCTGGCAAAGCCCAAGCGTGAAATCTGAGTTGCTTAGGTTGAAAACCATGGTTCTCCACGTTGGGAGAGACGTAGTGCCACACATAGCAGGTGCTGTGAAACTTCGCGCGCAACACCCCTTCCAGAAATTGCCACTGTTGCTCTGGCAAACGATGACAGCAATGTCTGACGCGCGAGTAATAAAATGCAACAAAAAGCTCATCTTGCATGCAGCTGTCTGGAAAGGGTGAGCACACCTGGCCCATCTCTTCACTCCAGGCCTGTGCTCTTGGAGCCAAAGAGTGTCGGGGATTCGTAGCCCTTGACGAGGCTCTTCGGTCTGCAAACCTGGAGACAACTGACGTGAAGACGGGAGACCCGCACAAATCACCTCTTCAACTTTAGGACAGAAACTTTAAAAATTCGAATCAATTGCACAACTGGAGGCCAACGAAAAGGCGGCAGCGAGCAGTGCCAGCGCGACCACCAGTGTTAGCACCACTGGCATTGTCATTGCGAAGCCTGCGTGAAAGACTCGAACAGGCGCAGTATGCTGCAGCATTTGTGTGGTATGCGGTATAAGAATTTCGGGGCTGGGCTGGACTTCTGGCAAACATACATACCAAGAATGACTACCATATATGGATTCCGTCTTAGAGCCAGAGAAGCAAAGCGTGACTGGAGGGCTTGCGGTGAGCCTGTGGGCTTGAGGCTTTACATCACTCGTTAAGTAGGAAGGTATGGAAGGTGTGGGCTGGGGGGTTGACCCGCTGACGTGATGCCAGCCCGTTTCGGGTGCTGCGCTTAATTTGGCGGCATTAACTTGCCCCGCTACAGCACAACCATTGCAATGAGCTACTCCGGCCTGCAGGTTCTACGCGAGAGCTCAGCAGGTGCGCCAGGGCCTTGTTTGTGAGTCTTCAAGAAGAACCAGATCTGTTTGAAGATGAGCGAATTGGGCACAGATGTGGTCCTATACAAGAGGGAAGTAACGCCTACACCGCCTACACGATGCCTACCACTAAACATGTTATTCTGAATGCGCGCCCAGCCGGAGGTGAGAATGCACTAGCTACACTTGATTTGACCGCCGTCTTTATGCATTTCAGACATGTGAGAGCAAAGAGGGTACTTGTAGCAGTTTGTAGATGCAAGGCTGAGCCATGAAGCCCTGGCGGCCCTACCTGAGAAAATCCAATGACTGGCCGCAAGAATCTGCTCACACGGCCGGGACATTGCTTCCACACCCATGAACGCACAAGCTCAAGTCTCAACCCTCTTCCTCGCGCATGCGCCGGCCTTACGGAAAGGATAACCTGCCATCATCCAACAACAACTCCTACATCTTGCTTTCAAGCCATCAGTTAAGCAGGCCGCTGCTCCAAGTGCCCAGTCAATGTCACCTCAGAGCGTCGCTGTCAAAATGCGCGCAGGGTTGAAAGCATGTGAAAGCCCGTATGCCTGCCGAGGAAAGCAAGGGAAGTGACGCGCTGGGATTCAGCTGAAGAGGCTTCATTCATGTTGCGACCAAGCTGCCGCCATTTATTTTTCTCTGCACTTCGACCTCAATGCCTGGTGAAAGGCTCAACAGGGCAAGACTCGGGGTGGGGCTAGGCATGCTGTTAGGTCTTTTTTCCGACTGCCAGGCAACATCAGGCCCCATGTCTAATTTCCATAAGAGCTTGGACCATGGACGACATAGTGTAATCTGCCAAGGAAAATGCGGCCATGGGATTCTTGAACAAGAATTGTACAGCCTGTACAGCCAGCCGCAACATACGATGTTTCGTAGTAAATCTCAGCGCGATGCGACTAACTGCAAACTACTTTCTCATGCACTGGCTTCTTGATGCTGCTGCTGCTGCGAAAGCCCTTGTAACATTACCGTCTAGAAGCCTGTTAGTCACGACGCCCAGAATCGCAATCTAAAGATGAAGGCTTGCAACATGCCATTGCCAGCCTGGCACATCAACGGCACCAAGTGCCCCAAGGAAAGCCAGCCTGCAGAAGAGTCTTGTAGTGCTGTGGATGGAGCGTGTCCGGTGTTGTTGGTGCCAACGGTGGGGGCTAGGTGCTCTGCGGCACTACATGATAAAACCGTTCCGAGTTTCGCAGGCTGACCCGTGTGTGCTGATCATCCCGAGCTTGATGAAGAACTGCTTGCCCTCTCTGCAAGATCTTGCCAGGTCTCTGAATAAACCGAATCTGATCAACCCCGCGCAAAGGGGTGCTCTTTTTGTTGCCAGTGGTACTTGACTTTCCTTTTGGAGGGACGTGCGCACCGTCAACTCGAAACTTGTGCGCAGCCTTTTGTGGCGGTCTTGGCCTGTAACCATTTGCTGCCAGCTGTAGGCCACCTATTAATCACGTGCCGTGGCGACAACAGCAACTGACCAAGCCAGCAAACAACGGCGTCGGGCCTGATCTTGTGTGGTGTGATTTCTGTGTTCAGACTCTCACTCCAGGAGCTATCTTGGCGCATCGGCCACATTATAGTCTTCCTGATTTTGACCTGTCTCTATGAAGGTTTTGTTTCTGAATGTGCTGGCAGAATGCGTGATGGATTTGACGTTTTTGCTGGCGCTGCTTGCTGCATTGAACTTGAAAATACTTGAAAAACCACCTGCGCAACCTTCTGCTTTATGTAGATGCCTTCCAGCTAGCAGCTGCCTGCATCTAGGCCTCAACTATGAGTCTGTGACAAACTTCCAAAACACGCTCGTGCATGTCTGCCGTATATCGTTTCAAACAAGGGCAAGTAGGAGGTGTCACTGGACATCTTGGCATGTCCCTGGGTTGTTATTTCGGATTAATACACGATTTTTGACATGGTGAACATATTCAAACGTTGCCAGCATAGTCATAGCTGAGTGTTTGGCTGGATGTGCCAGCAGGCTTGCTCCAGATTCGTTTGACTCTTTTCCGCTGACGTGCTCTACATGCTTTCAGCCCTCGAGCTTGGAAAGGCATGTGCCTCACACGCAATTACTGAGGCGGCTAAATCCATTCTTCCTCTCAGGCACGTTGATGGTCTTTCAGGTTGGCAAGCATGGCTGGCCAAACACTCACCGATGTAAGAATCCCGAGCACCAATATCTCGCGGCAAGCTTGGCACAGGTGTCATGTCAGGTTGCGGTGACGCAGCCTAGTCAAATATAGCTAGAGCTTCTATCAACAGCAGGCGACTCAAACACCCAAAGCCGCCGCATCCAAAAACCACTGAGCTTCTATGGCGGCAAGTACCAATGCCAAGGCTCCGACTGGTAAGACAGCGCAAAGCACGCCCGGTCTGCAGCAGAGTCTGCCAGGCTCTTGCCACACACTTCCTGCATGCGAAAGGTAAGTAAAAGTGTGATCTAGGACCCCAAGACTCTTGGATACTTCATCAGAGAATAACTTGAAGTGCTCGTAGGCACTGTAGCTTCGTGTAGACACCTTAGCAACGGGTAGAGATGAGCTTGCCAAACGTTCGGCACGTCTTGCTTCTTTGGTCTTTGTACGAAGATATTTGGGCGATGCATGCAAAGGAGCCATCCAAATGCGCCACGGTGAATATCATCACCCACCAGGTCCTACCCTTTTTTTCTGCAAGCCAGCTGGAGCTTGCATGGTGAGCTTGACCCTCGCAAAACATCTTCTGCACATCCTTAGACAATCTGAACGTATAGACCCAGAGAACCCTAAATGACACGTTCGAGAAATCCCCCCAAAAGACCTTGGAGCAGTTGCCTGCCTTGGCTTCTGCATCGGTTGGACAGACACCTTCCTGGTCACAGGTAACGACGCTGTGAGCAGGCTACGCATTCAGTGAAAGGCGTCGCGTCAACAAGGAAAGCCATGAAGTGCCAGAGGCAGTTCAGATGCAAGCCCAGCTCCAGGGAGAGTCACTCTGGCTTTTCTACCGAGACATGTTTCTTCTGCAGGAAGAAAGCCAAAAAAGCTTAGCTCATGCTTTGGCTAACTGAGCTTGTGGGAGCCTTGTTTGGAAGCTGAAGGTCATTCCTGACGTAGTAGAAGTTCTCCTGAGATGAGCTTGTCTTGCGCTTGCAAATTGTCCAATGCAAAGCCATGGAGCAGAGGACGCGTGCTTACAAGCATGTGAAAGGAGCTCGTGCATCAGAACTGTGTCAGGGTTTGGGGGATCCAAAAATGAAGATCAGGATCAACAAAATCTTAACAGGGACAAAAACACATTAAAAAACACACGCACTTGCTCATGTTTGAAGAAATTGCATATTTCAGCATTTTGGGCATCTAGAGCCTGCAGACACACTGAATCAATTTCAGCATTGGGAGCTCATCCAGAGCTTGCAGGTACTGTAAACAGCACTTGGAATTCTTTAAAGCTTGCACATGCTGTTAATTCCAACACACCAGCTCTGAATTTTCCAGCACTTGCCAATGTATGCATTCGGATCTCTGCAAAAAACGTAGACGCTGCGAATTGCAGGATTTAGAGAGATCTTCATTTGCGCAGCTGGCCTATGACTGCAGAGGTTGCACTGTAAGGCCAGAATCTTGTAGAGGCTGCAGATGCTGTCCGAGAGGAGTTTATAGACTCAGGTCTTGTTAGCAGCTACACTCCAGCCCATAATATCTAATGCGCATACCACGCGTCACGCAATAACAGGGCAAATTACAAAGTACAGGTGTCATAACTTTGAAGAAGCGAGTCTTTACAGTTGCATCTGTAGGTTACTCAATGCTGTTGCAAAGGGTTGAGGTGCTTGTGGGGCATGATGCTCGCCTATCCCGGTGGGAACCAAATCTAGTTCAGTACCCTGAGTTGGAATTTGATCTTGGCTTGAGGCTGCTAACTAGTTATTGTGAGTTTATGAAGTCCCCTGGCTTCTCGACCAACGAAATAGATAGTTTACAAGTTGCAGACTTAAAGTTAACGGAATCTGCGCCCGGTGTTTCAGCATTCCCATATCTCCACTACTACTACTGCTACTACTACTACTACTAGTGGTTCTCACTCTTTTTTCTTTCGCTTAATACTAGGACAGTGACGGCCTTGTGACATGATGATGGGGATAGTACGTTAATACTTGTGAGATAAGTGTGCAGCTATACATCTTTAGCACAAACTCGAAATTCAACAGGGTAGATACTCAAAGTCAAGTACTTCCACCATAACAGCTCTATTACCTGCTCAATCCTTATCCTGCTTGCATATGCTGTGATTTAGCAACAGCTCTCAAACATAGTTATGACATGATGTGTCTTTTTTTACGGCGAGCATGGATGGCCTTAAATAGGCGATCCCATTAGCAAATAAAATGGTCCACATAACCCTCGTGTAATGCTATTGCAAATATGGTGCACTTCCCCTAATTGCCTTTCTCCTCGTTTCATTCTTGACCACGCCACTGTATTTTACAGCTGTCCCCAATTTCAAATGTTGATCCTCATCTACTTTGTTTAGCTTCTGTTTTCTTCTGCCTATCCCCGAGGTCTTTCTTCCTTTTCCTCATCTCTGTCTTGTTTTTATTCAGATCTATCGTTCTTCTTCTTCTTCTGACCTGTCGTTCTTTCCCTTCTGTCCTTCTTGCTTTCTTTGTTTTCCTCATTTCTGCTTGGCTTTTCTATTTCTATTGTTGTTGTTGTTTTCTTTCTTTTGTTGTTCTTTCTTTCTCTCCGTTCTTCTGCCCTTCTTTCTTGCTGTCTTTCCTCCTCTTTGGCTTGTTATCCGTCTCGTTCTTCCTTTCGGCTTTTATTTCCTTTTGTTTTCTGGTCTTTCTTACTAACTTCTTTCTTGCGCTCTTGTTTTCTCTTCGTTTCAGCTTGGATTACGGCACCGTATCTTGCAGCTTTTCTCAATTTGTGGATCAGCATGTTTTGTTGACCGCTTTTTTGACCTTACTCATTTTCTTGTCGATAGCTCTCTCACTTCCGCACATATGTGGTCCAAGGGCGTAGGTGCTGGCAGACCAATTACATACTTTTGAAACATCACCACACTTCTAGGTTACCATGGAAGGATTTGGCTTTCAGCTAAGTTGACAGTCCCCGTCACTTCCCTCTACGGAAGTCGGCGCGAGCTTTGAGCAGGCCAGTTGCTGTCGCTGCGAAGTGGCCGCGCACGGGGAGCTCATGCCTTTGGATTTTCAACTCTTGTCCCGATACATCCCTGTATAATTGCCCTGAACATAATTCCTGGGCCGCCCCTGTATAACCCATGGGCCTAGATGTGACTGCCTCAAATTTCCACCAAGGGATTCAATTCAGTCCCAACCGGCTGACATGCTTGTATGTTCTGCAGATTGAACTAGTAGGAGAATGAATTGCAGCTCCACAAGAAGTACGCCCAGGCGCTCGTACCGTCCCGGAGCACTCCCTTCCTGTCAAATACATGCTTTTGTGTTCTTACAGGGAGGTGAAACTGAGATGTTGTTTGGTGATGACACCCTTGCCATGTGCAGATTGCAAACTTGGGGTTGCCAATGGCTTCAAAATTGATTAGCCCGTGGGAGGCCACCGTGCGGGGCACCCGAAGGCCTTAGCAACCTGAATAACTGCTGAACTTCCCCGGATTCCAGGTTGGCAAGCAAGTCAGCGCCACCCTGCTGCAGGCTACCTGCCTGAAAAAGAAGGGACCGAATATTTGTCCGGCACTGCGTGGAATCGCCACTGCCTGATCACTTTCTTCACGCTTGCAGAGGTAAACAAGACTCCTAGGGAGTGCTCTCCTCCCCATCGCTACATCACCAAGCCGAGCCTATAAGAAGCTGTCCAATCCACCATTTAGAATCAGCCCAGCTGCCACTTTGCCGAGCGCCATTGCTCTTGACGCGTGCGTAGCCGACCGGGTAGCAGGGGTCAGAGCCTTAATCTGTACGCTACGACTAGCTGCAGCACTGCTGCAGCTGAACAGTGTCCCAGTGCTTAGAAGACACCTACAGTTTGCTGGTGGCGTGATGGGAGTTGCCGCCGTGAGCAGCAAGCATACAAGAGCTGCCGTGCCAAGACTTGGGGGCGCACAGGTCCGGCAGTTTGGGGCCCTGGGATTCGGGCTCTCGCTCTCGCCCATGGTGTCTTGCAGTTTCGACTGGGCATAGTCCTGGCCGAAGCCTCGGTTGCGCATTCAGCCAGAGATCCAATGAAGCACGGTTATCATCCGAAACCACCAGCCATCGTTAAGAGCCTCGACCCAGCAAGGACCCAGAACAAAGCGCTCGGAATTATTGTGCAAACAACAGCCTAACATGCTGACATTTTACTGGTACACAGCCTGCTGCGAATTCTGTTTGCTTTTGTGCAGTCCAGGGTCCCAGGTAGCTGTGCGCGTACAAGGAGTAGACCTCAAGTCAAGTTCAACCATTTGACAACCTAAGCTCAGTGATGTTCCAGAAGTTCACCAAGACCCCAAGACCCTCCAGAGATGCCTTGGCCAGGTTCCCTGATTGCCTGTTGCCTTTTAGACTGAAGATCCTCGAAGGCGCCAAAAAGAGCAGAGACCAGTGGCTTCCCTTCTGCGAAGCAAAGAAGAAAGGAGCCATATGGGGGTTTCCCAAAATTTGGGGCACCATTTTGGGAGCCCCTATCATAAGGATCATGATAGTTGGGGGTCTATGTTGGGGCCCCCTTACTTTGGGAAACTACCATATTCAACCCCTTGTCCATGCTGTTCGGGCCCGAGCGGCCCTGCCCAAGCCTGTCTTGAACTGAAACCGATCCAGTTCAGCAACGCGCTCCTTGGCTGGAAGTTGTGCAGCAACAAGCAGCCTGAAAAAGAGCCTGCAAGTAAGCATGCCCGTCGAAATAGATTTTGATGCCATGAAATAAGCTGTCAGGAGGCAAACTCATCTGGCTGCACTTCGAAGCTCACCTGTCAACTTCGCGCGGTTCGCCGTATAGGGTTAACGGGGTGAGGGGGGCATTCGAGAAACGCCCCGTGGCTAGCCACAAAGCGCGACAGCTGACTGTTGACAAGGCTTAGAGTTTAGAAGACCATGTGATCGCAGGCTGGCTCCCTGTGGGTACCCACAGCAACCCCCAAAGACGGAAGCATGTCTCTGCAGCAAGGCACCTGAGTAGACCCACCTCCCATCTCGATCACGCCCATAGACGGGACTTTGGAGTTCTCGGTGAGATGTTTTTGCTGGGGCTTGTGGGCTGTTGCACAGTGAATGACAAATCCAAGCATGTCTTGCACCATCAAGTCCCCATTAATTTCTGGATGCATTTTTGGCTTCATGCCTGATGAGCAGCATCAGCGCAAAAAAGTTATGCGCAAAAAGTGGGCGTCCAGTCATGATGCCTTCCGGAGTCAGGAGTCAGGGGTGGCCTGCTGTAGCTGAAGCACCTTTCCCTGAAAAAGGCAGTCCAAAAAATTCCATGATAATTTTGGCAAGTAGAGTCTAGTGTCTACAGCTGCTAAACTGCCGTGCGGCCACGTCGAAACTGCCCCCTAGGTAGTTCGCCGCGATCCAAGCTAGGGCCGCCTCCTCCTGCGAGGATATGTTGATAAAGACTTCTTGAGGGCTTGCTTGGGACCGAAAGCAGCACAGGGCTGAGGCTGAACTACACAGTTTTATCTGTTTGCTACGGTCTGGCAAAATGCTGCTGTACTGACATCGTTGCCGACTTCTTCTTCGGACTCTTACTTTGATTGTGCGCGCCCCTGCCAGGCACCCTGGTTTTGCAGGCAAGTGCTGATGGCTCTCAGAATGTTTGTAGATACAACATGTGTGGTTGAGATCTCTCGCAAATGGACGCCGTGAACTCATCGCTAACTGGGGGTCCTTGCCCTTGATGATGTCTGCCCAGGCCTCGGAAACACATCAAGCCCTGGCTCTGAGACTTTAAACTCCGCTGCTTCCTTGTCTGATCTACATCAACAAGGCTTTCATAACTTTTTCTGCTGACAGAGCCTGAGCTGCGCTCTAGTTGGAGGCCCGCTCAAAAAACCACGTTGCGGCTGTCTCATTCCACCACCATAGGCCGAGGTCGCTGTCGTACTTGCGCCAACCACTGTCTGCAGCGCCGTCCTCAAAAAACACATCGCCTGACTTCTCATTGTGAAACCATACCTTCTGCGTTGTGGGGTCCACATACCTCTGCCAGGTTTCCTGTTGAGAGTTCCGCGGAGTCGAGATATCGAAGGACTGTGGTCCACTGAAGCAGTCCTGACAATCTTGATCGGGTGCTTGCGTCTCCTGGCGCCATATGTTCTCATTCTCCACATTCTGTGCATAAAAGGACCTGGTCGCTGCAGGTTTCGGTTTAGGCATTGGACTGCCAACATGGCCTTTCCAGCTGTCGCCCTTCGTGCCGCTGGGAAAGTTGTTGGCAGTCTTGCCCTTACTGCCCTCGCCCTTGCCATGCGAGTATCTGGCCCTGATTCGGAAGAGACCTTTGGCAGGCTCGTCCAAGTCAAAGCGCCTGCCTCGCGATCCCGCGCTTGTGCAGGCCACATGGATCACCTCGTCTTTGTAGTGAGCAAGTCCACACTTTCGCATAAGGTCATGCAGCTGCACCCGCCCCTCTGCATCCGGGGTGAGGCCGTATTGGTGCGTTTCGTAGCGAAGGATGCGACCCAATGTCTTGGAGAGATCTAGCTGCGAGGCCTTGGGCATGCTGCACCACGGGAGGGGCTTAACTGGAACTCCTTGAGCAATAATCTCCACATTCTTTGGTCCTGGCATGGCATGCATAGATGCTGGGCCCCTCTTTCTCAGTCTTATGCTAGAGGCGGGAACTGGCACCAACCCATTCAGACTCCTGCAAAAGGAGCTCGCTATGATCTGCAAAGCTCTAGGATAAGAGGTTGTGGCAACAGCCACATGGCTGAAGAACTAACAAACTGCGACCTGTGATAATCAAACTTGCAGCCGGGACTTCACAAACGCAAAGCTAAGCTGACGAGCCGCATCCTGGAATTGGTAGCCCGACGCTTTCAGGGTGGAGCGGACCTGGGGCAGCTAATCTCACGTGCTGCGAGCTGAGGTGAGAGGGCTGCTGGAGGGTCCTGTGCCGTTAGTCTCAGTGACTTAGAGGAAAGATGTTCACGGAGTGAGATGTTACGGATGCTACGGAAGCATTGCACGCAGTACGTCCGCGTACTGAAAATACGACATGGATCGAGGTCAAGCACTTGCCACCCTGGAGTTATGTCATCCGCATTGCCGACAAGAAATCCAAGTTTCCTCCTGAAAATCCCTACAAGCCAGTATCCTGCAGCTAATTGCACTATTAGACGAGCTTTCACGCCATAGCTGTTCATCCGCAAGGCCGCTGCCAGAAACGCTCTTTGGCACCGAGGATAGCAGATTCTGACCTTAAAGTCTTACAAATTCCAACAATCGGAGCCGGGCCGCTGTTCGCAAGACCGCCTCTGCCTTGGCCTCAGGCACCGCGCGGAGGCCCGCCGTGGCCTGCAGGCACACGCTTGCAGGATTGAAGCCGCGTCTACGAGGAAATGGCTAAGATAAACTTCTTCTTCTGCTTCAATTAAGAATACGTCCCTGCGGGACGCGCTGGGGTTACACCCCACAGATACACTGTCTTTCTGTCTCACTCTCTCTGTGTGTCTATACGCAAGCATAATATTGAATCTCGCGAAAAATCGCCACACGATCCCTTCTATCCTTTGTGTGCTGTCTGTCGGGTATGTTCTAATATGGTACGGGATAGCTAGGATGCAGACACATACGTCTGTTTGCGAGAATACTCCCCATCACCCTTGCTACTAGTAAGATTTTCAGGTTTCAAGACTACTTGTACTTTTAGACTGTGAATTTCCTATACAAACCGCGGCGCTTTGTCATGCCGTCATGCCCCTCATTGAATTGCTGCAAGCACTCAGAAGCCTGCCTTGAGCAGGACAGGGGTAGTTGGCCGCCGCTCAGCAGCCACGAATTTATTCGCGAAGTTTACCTGAGCGGTGGCTTGCTGTACCTGTATGTTCTCTTAGCGCAGTCCCACGCAAAAGCTCTGATGATGAGGCATAGCTTGGGCTATGGCCTACGGTCTCCTTATCCTGCGGTACTAATACTTCCGGTCCTTTTCCTACTGTTCCAATGCTCAACATGGACCGAAGCTCATCTGTCCCTTGCCCGACAATCCTGCCGCATGCATCCTTTAGAACTGCGGATTGCGCGCCCTGCAAGAGAAGATGAATGCATCAAGCACCCGTCTTGATGAACAGCAACTTTATGGGTGGGACTAGAGACGAGTGGAAGAAATACTGGGGGATCATGCAGCTTCACAGCTCAAAGGTTCTTGAGTATTCTGAATGCTGCAATGCTCCATGTGCATGCCATTTCAGCTGCGCATCCAACTGTCAGCTGATTTCTTGTCAAGGTGTTGCTAACACTGTCTGAGCAAATAAGGGGAATATCCGCACAAATCGGAGAAAGACATCATCCTTCGCGCACCGCTGCACAGGCCCTGGTGCTACTTTTTGTTGGGGGCCCCGAACCGCTCTGAAGTTGAATCAAGTTGCAAGATCTTGTATGTTCAGCCGGCAGCCTCTGAAAGAAAGAGCATGGATTTCGAGGCATCATGTAATTCTTGCTAAGGGAGCTGCTTGGATAGATGTTTGCTCTCTTTCACGTCGCTCACGCAAGATTTTCGGTTTTGTGGGTTCGGCTGTCTGGATAAAGGACTTGTCCGCTAGTGCGATCATCCGGGAGCATGTGTATCAAACTTGCGTGAGGCTGGCTTCGCGCTCTGCTGAATCTGTTGTCAAAAGACAGCCAGCAGCCTTCCAAGTCCTCCCTCTTTGCGAAGTCAGACAGGCCAGGCTTCACCTGCTCTTTTCCAGTGCTTCAGATTTGCATCTTGCACGCAAGCATACATGGCATGACGTGGTACCGCAGTGTGACTGGGATTGATTCTGGTAAGCCCACACTCGCGGCAAGACTCATGACCAACGAGTGCAGTGGATGGCTTGACACTGAGAGCTCTGTGGTCAATGCGAAAAGATCTATGCAAACGGTGCTGTCATGTGCTGTCCCACAAGAAATTTTCCTTTCGTAGAATTGCTGCCAGCTAGTCCAGTACATGTATGTACACATGGCAATCAATTGGCTGCTTAGCTCTAAGCAACGCCATCCATTCCTGAGTAAAAAAAATACCCGAACCCTGCATACGCAGCCGCCTTGAAAGTCTGCGCGTCCCGGACTGCAAGGTCAACACCTTGGACTTTTATGAAGTCAAACGTCCACGTTTTGTGCCAGCAAGTCCTGAACGAAGCTGGATCATGTCGCCCAAGCCTCCAGGATCAAAGACACCTAGATTTGTGCCAAGGTTCGCGGCACATGAGCGTCCGCTGCAGGCATATACATGTTGAAGACATGAATGCCTCAGGCGGTGAGCGCAAGCGAGACTATGGTAGGTGTAAAGCTGAAGATCAAGTACCCGCGACGCGAGAACGGCAACCTCACCCAAAGCTGCCAGGCCGAGGATCGTGTGCCACTACTGCCGGCATCAAAGACCAAAATCTGCTCCAGGTTGCCGTCGCTCCCTGTTTTCATGGCGCGAGATCACCGAAAAAAGTAGCCTCCTCCCACTCTTTGCAATGTCAGTATTGAATTGTCCGAGGCTGCTGCCCTCCCAGAGCTTCCGTGGCTGCTCGCAAGGCAGCTTGAGCAATTTAGCAGCAATTTGAGCAGCTAGCTATAGCTGATAATGCTGGTAGTGACAGTAGCAGTGGCGACTAGCGGCACAAGCATTGGGAAATCGGGAGCAGGAGGAAGCTTGGTAGAATCATCATAGGAGTAATCACTTTAATCACAAGAAAAACCGCAGCGGGAGAAGCAGATGCTGGAGCTGGAGCTGGTCATCATTGCCATCGCCACTGTCTTCGCAATAAATGCAGCAGCAGTAGCAGTAATGATGTTAATCATCAGAATCGTAGTCGTCGTCGTTGTCATGGTTGTCGTGGTCGTGGTCGTCGTCATCGCAGTCGTAGCAATAGCGGAAAGTCATGAATGCAGTGACAGTCATAGTAGTCGTCTGACAACAATGATCGTAGCTGATCGTAGACTGAATGTGGCTGAATGGTGACTAGTACTTAGTGGGTTGGCCTCGGAGGTTGCCAGCAAGAGCCCTCTGCTCGGAGTCCTCGGAGCTCCAAGGTTTTTTTGTTCATGACAAGTTTAGGTGGCGGACAAAATGCTTTGCCATACTAGCCCTTGCAGTAAGCTATAGTAAGCCAGAATGGCCGTTACGATGTGCTGATAGCATTGCGCGTCATGATACACAAGCATGACGTCTCCGTTTGCAAAACCGTACCCGCGTATTCCACTTGATGGAAATGCAGGAAATCTCGCTACCAATATGAAAAACACTGGCAACACTTTTGCCGACTACTCATACAAGCCACGATTAAGTTTAGGATCAGAACGAGCAACAAAAACAAACAATGATAAATCGCGCCAAGCCTCGCCGCTGCTGGGCGCCGGTGCCTAGGCCGTACTGGCATTCGAGCAGGGCCCCTATGTAAATCTAGGACCCATCCCGTCTAGAATAACACAACGGGCTTAATCACTTTTTCAAGAGTTCAAACATGACTCGCACGCTTGAAGGGCTCTATAACACCTTGGATTGAACAGGACCACTCCGCTACTGCAAAAACGCGCCCTCAGTGGCCGAGTCTTAGATAGTAAGACCTCACGAAGACTACAATCTTGTGATCTCTTAAGGTCTCAAGTGGGCTATTGCATTCCAAAATCTGTAATTCAACTTTTCCGCAGCTCTTGCCAAGAAGCCAAGCAAACATGGCATAGCCAAGCACCGAGAATGAGACGCAAAGGGTCGGCCATGTAAACCTTGGAGCAGAACCAAAATGAGCCAAAGCACATTTGCTCATTGGCTTGGACGTTGCAGTGGTTGGGTGAGGTTAGGCTGCTTATTTGATTCAGGCAGAAGCTCGTCAGGGGCAAATTCCTGCTCCGCTTGGAATCCTGCGCTTTCCAGTGGCCTCTTGCAGCTACACAGCGCTGCAAATCAGGGTTTGAAACGACTTTCCGCCGAGCAGCGCAGGTCAGGTGGCACACAGTCTTTGGCCGCAAGACCTCTCCTACCTACTCCTCAGTGCTTATGGTTGATTGGAGTTGCTGATGGGTGGGGTGTAGGGTGGTCGCTGAAGCGTGGACAAGCGTGCATGGCCTTTGTCCATCCTTCAAGACTTTGACTGCTAGAATGGGGGTCATGCAACATCTCATGGTTTGGGCCCAGGCAGCTTGGCATTACTTTTGACCATGAGCCGTGACTGCTGCGCTTCTCTCTGAGTGCTTCGTGGCTTGCAAATTCCTACCTGCAAGCCAGGTCTTGTGTGAAAGTCTCAGCTTGCGTCTAGATTACGTACTCCTTGAAACAAGGCTATCTCTTCTCCTTGCGGTATCCTCCCTGTTTTGTGCCGCCGTCAGTAGCTCCAGATGGCTCTTCTCCAGAGTCACTGCCATATTCCACCAGGGGCTGGGCCTCTCAAGCAGCAAGCTCTCTGAAATGCCGGCCCACTTCGCCAATCACTCCTACAGGAATCGCAGTAGGCGTTGTTTGTTTTCTCTCCTTCTCAGTCTCTTTTTTTTGTTTGTTGTGTCTCTTCTTCTTGTCAAAGCTATACATCCCCCAGAGGAGGATGCCGAGGCAACGCCTCGAGCCTGCACTGGTCCGTCGTCACAGGTCAAACCACCGAGGCCCCAAGTGCTGCACATAAACATATGCCATCACTCAAGAAGAGGTCTAGGCTAGCTCCTTCTTTCTTTCTTTCTTTCTTTATTTCTACTTGGTACACTTTTCGATTTGTGCTCCTTCTATCTCTCTCTCTCTCTCTTGGATGCTTTGCCTTTTCGAAAATTTTTGCTTTGCTTTGCTGGGGTGCTTTCTTTCTTTCTTTCATTCGGGCTATGGAGGAGGACCTGGGTCCCCTCCGGGACTCATTGCCCAGCCCGTGTTGGGCTGCCAGGTTTGCTGCGGTGCTCTCTCTCTCTCTTCTTCTTCTTCTTCTTCTATGGGCTATGCAGCATCAATGATGCTGCGAGGGCGAACCCCCAGCCCCGCGCAAGTTCAATGTCTGCGGTCTTCCCAGGAGGCCCGGAATACTCACCCATTATGCTTTGCAGCAGGCACGACAGGACCTTTAATGTACCGTATAACTCGCAACACAGCCTGCTCCAAATCTGCAATGGGCTTCTTCCCTTCTCCACTGGGTTGTGAGACTTCCCCCACCGCACCTTCGACCATGGAACTGTATAACATCATCCAAGTTACAACTGTATAGCATCTTCCCGTTGTGGTGGGTGGTATAGTCACTCTCCCCGTTATTGCTCTATTGGCATAACCGACTGTACTGGGGGTGACTGTCCTTGGTCCAGGTCCTTCCCTCACTTTGCATTTCACGCTGACACTTTGACTACTCACCACTTGCATTTTCCCCTGGACCCGAAATTGGTGTGAGACTTCTCTTGGTGCCTTGTTGTCTTTGATTCCAAACATCATGAAAGTGACGCATTAAGATTTCAGTGGCATCATAATTGGTGTGAGATCGCTTGATGCTGCCGGCTTGGTTGGGAATCAACACTCAAGGTACAGTCCAATGCATATGGTGCTATTGAACCCCAATCCATCGTTTTGGTTTTCCCAGCATCTTTTTGAAGACACTAACCCCTCTACCTGGCTCACTGCTCCCGGGGTAACTGCGAAACAGATGTCAATTATGGTACTTCGGGCCTGTCTCCCCCGTGGACAGCATGATTTTCCCACTCTTGTCTTCCTTTTTTTGAGGGACGATTTTGGAAGCCCAGTGGCTGTTATTTGGGATTGCAGCGATTTGCCAGTATGGTACACTACTTCCCGGTTTCGAATTTAGGGCTCTATTCCAGTACTGAGACAAGATACACTCACCCCCTATCCACAATGTCACATTGGTCTATAACCTCAACACGAGGTATCATTTTCCCTTTCTGCCCCTGTGCTCTCTCAGTTGATGTCGTGGTTTTGCTTCTCCCTGATCATTTCGAACTCCCCCAGGATCCCCACTTTGTTTCTTGCTTCTCTCCTTTTGGGTCACTTGCTTCTGCTGTCCTTTTCATTGTTCTCTTTTCCTCTATCTTCCTCCTCCGGCTTTCTCTCTCTCTCTCTCTCTTTCTTTCTTTCTTTCTTTCTTTGTTTCATGCGGGCAATGGAGTGGGCCGCTGGGGTCCACTCCTGGGATTCTCCCCATGCCCGTGAAGGCCCTTGCCTAAATTCCTGAATGATACCCAGCATAAAGACCACGTACTGGCTTCCGCCAAGTACTTACTGGGACTGGGAATAATCTTGATATGGACACTACTATGCCAGAGTGCGGATTGCAATGGCCCGCCCCTGCATCTGTGGTCTGTACTTTTTTCTCTCTTCTTCTTCTTCTTCTTCGGGCGATGGAAGGGTATACACCCCTCCCGGAGCACTGCCCCGCGCCCAGCAGGTATGTGCCGGGTTTGCACCCTAGAGGACCGAAGGATCGCCAATTCCGGACCCACACATCTCAGACAATGAAATGAAGAGAAAGAGCCAGCCCAAGCACCAGAAGTGTGACGGGTCCACGATTGAATTTCCTTCCTAACCGATAGGGCTGTGATACTCCACCCCTGGATACTCCCGCAGCGCATGCCGTTGCAAAGGCCCAACTACCACAGAGTTAGACGACATGATATCAACACAACAGCCTTAATACTCTCTCTCTCTCTTCTCTCTCTCTCTCTCTCTCTCTCCGTCTCTCTCCGCTGTGCCATCCGCAGCATCAACCAGCAATCTTTCGTACATGAACCGGCCATGTTGCTCACGTCTTGTGCTACTACACATCACCACCTGCACGAAGGCTCTCCAGTCTTGTCTGAGACCGCGCGACCTTTGAGTCAGTTTCTGCCTGCTTTGCTTGTATGCTGAGGCAAGCATTGCAAGCAAAGACGCGCCAGACCTTTTCTTGCGAAAAAAACTCAGTTGAACTCTTCTGGTGAACAGTGCTCTGCAAGGCCCTGTGGGCATCAAAGGGCCCCCGAGCAGCACAGCGTGGTGCTACTCGCGCTGCAGCTATGCAAGCATGGGCACACGCCTCATGTGCTGGAGGAGGTCATGTCTATGACCTCCTGGGGTAATTTATCACAAGTAAACACGGCCTGGGTTCCGTAGTCGTCATCTCCATTAGACAATGCCCCACCGAGTGCCTTCGGCACAGCCTCTTGGGGAACATAGCTGAGAAGTGTCTCTGTTATCTCACTCTCGTTGACGATATTTATCCTCACTTGCTCAATTTCCTTGCACAAAGAGGTCGACCATTGGTTTCTGGTAAGGTCTACGAATTCTCTGCGACTTAAATGGAGAAAAGGTTACCATGGGATTCTGCGAATCTTGTCGAGAGTTCCTTGGTCCACAAAGGGCCGGCACATGCGCCAAATCACCGGGAAGATCCAAGGAGCTCGCACCACGAAAACTCGCTTCAGGCCCTCAGGGTAGTGATCGGACTCCACTCGACCGACCGTCCTCAGCCATTAGGAGCTGGAATAAAAATCAAGGCTACTATACGAGCCTATCAATATGCGCACGACTGTCAATATGTCCTTTTGGTCTTGGGCGATTCTCTGTAACACCATAAATTTGAACTTGCTGTCAGCAAGATTTCAGCATTATTCACGGGGCTGACCAGAGGCCTATTCTCTACGGGGCGACCCCAAACCTGGAAACTGAAAGCCCCACACACACAATAAAACCCAACCCTTCGACCCAGCGTCTGCAGCATTCCCAGCAGCTGCCGGTCCATGAAGCTCAAATCGACCCCGTCCATGTCCACAATCACTGTGAACTGAAAGCCGCGGCTGTTGCCGTTCCTGAGCTGCTGTCAGGGCTTCAGGAATGCCAGCGATTTACGGGGATCATGAAAGGATTATTTGTATCCCTCTTAAACATTATGTTGCAGAAAACCTTTCAGCATTGTAGATAGTTATATGAAATGACACGCAGCCTCGCAGGGCTTATCACCAAGCATCTCGAGGTTCTCTCGTCTTGCCACCTCTAAGCCAGCAAACACACACTCTGCATTGTAGATGGTATGCTGCTCGATGAAGTCCATGTTGCACTGTGTGAGGCCTTGCGGATCGTTCTGGCCCACCCGCTCGAGAACCACAGGATCACCATCCAGATCTTTTCCTAAGACGCAAGTTTTTTTCCAGTACCAGTCGAATCTCTCGTGCCTGCTCTTGTCCTGGGATGGTAGAATGTCTGCAACATTGTTCCTGAGCAGGATGCTTGATTTCAGGCGCCCTGCGCTCGTGTGATGAGTAGTTTGCATTCATCAATTCCCTCCAGTAAGAGTTTTGGTCACCAAAATCTTGGTGGTTTCGCTTGGTCAAAACTTCCTCGGGTCTGGGCTCACTGGAGGTTGCTACAGGGGCTTTTATGCCCTTCAATTGAAGCTACGGCCATGGTGGCTTGGACCCTTGACTTTTGGAAGCCTCAAGCATTGTTTAGGCAGGAGATTCCGCGTCAGGACGCAGAGCATCATTACCATCCAATTTATGAAGGGGATGCCCCCATTACTCGCAAATGAAATTTGTTCAGCCATCGGGGCCCAAGGCTCTCGCACCAACGTGGTGTAGGTCAATGCAGCCCTTACAAGTAAAGGGTTGGCAGAACCTTGCTCAGCAGCTGTGGTTAGAACTGCTTCTTCGGCATTCGAGAGAAGAAAGAAAAGCGACCTTTTGCGGATGTTCCTTGGAATTCATGTGGATGATGAACACGGCAAAGCGTTCGTTACTCTTTTGCGCCTCTCTGATTCTACTGCTCCGCTGCGGTCTTTTTCTTACGCATCATCCCGAAGCACACAAGATCTTGGAACAGGTGTCCCCTTGTTTGGGTAACGTCTCACACTCCCATGCAGCCCCTGCAAGAAGAACAGCGCTTTTACGTAGGCTTATGAGGAACTGCCTGGGACCTGACAATGGTACTTTGATCGTAACCAGAGGCAATCACCAGAACAATCGTATTACTACAAAATAACACATTTCAGTTATTCAGACATGCCACAGCTGAGAAGCCCCCAAATGCTAACTTCCAAAACAACTCCAAAACTGTGACTCCAATAGCCCTGAAAAAACCTGAAATCCTCTTAGAATGCTCAGGGTCTGCTGCCGCCAGGCCAAAACAGAGCTGAGCATTTCAAAGGCGCGCTCCACGCTGCACTGCCGTGCCAGGAGGAACCGCAGGAGCACCTTAGGGTTTAGGGTGTAACGGCAAGAATCCCTATTTTGGAGTTTGCATTGCCTCCTAATCCCCTGGGAGCTTTTTGCCGGGCCCTTCTCGGGGGCTATTTCGCGGGAGCGCATGGAGATGCTTTGGTTATAGAATTGTCTAGTGTAGGAAGTTGACCGGATTTTCTGCGGATCATGTGTATGGGGCCCAGGGCAGTTCACCACTTTTTCATCATTATAGGGATTGCCCTCGAGGTCCACCAGCAAAGAGATCCAGTTTCGATGAGCACCCGTTCCGGGGTTCCTGAGGATAATTTTCATACATGAATTCCAGGACTCCTGGGTCTCGTGTCCCAAGCCTTGGCTTTCATTATCCCACACTGCCATGTTGAGCGGAAACGGCTCCCCATTATTGCGCGCACACGCAAATGACGTCAATGAGAAGCTTAAGATGGTTTATGGCGGCACAACGCAAAAGGCAAACTGTCAGTTCTAGCAGGGCCGCAGAGTTTTGATGCAAACCGCCGCTTTCTACGCTTGGTAGACGTGTCCCGGCGACACACAACTTCATAGTTACTATTGCGTGGGGATCCCACTTGTTCTGATCGCCTCCAGGCTCGAACTTAGGATTCAATTTGCTACTGCAACGTAACCGCAACCACATGAAAACAAAGCCGCCGCAGCAAGCCATTGGAGAGCACTGGATGTGACATCCCCTGCCCACATGGGTAAGCATAAAATCTTGCAGATGGAGTGGATTTCCAGTCTTGCTGCTCATTTGGGCTATTTACTTTATGATTAATCCCCTCCCGCCGATATTCAACACCCCCCCCACCCTCCAAATAACAAACACTCCCAACATTTTGTAATTTACCACATAACGGGAGTATCTAATACTATGGGGGTGAAGGGGCTTAATATGAACAATCTCAATCACATGAACAATGTTAGTAATATACTAATAGTAGTAATATGGATACTACGTAGCAATAATATGAATAATAGCACCAATATTTGGCATAATAATTTATGATTCAGTTCGGAAATCGGTTTTTCAGGATCAAGGCACCCTGGGATCTTGCGGCTGCACCCAACCACTGCTGGGGAGATCTGCAGCCATGACCTATACTGATATACACCCATTATGGTAACTTAGTTTAAGTTCCTTGTCCTTAGCAGTAACCCTGTATTTTGCTTGTAAAAGCCTCTCATAGAGGACTCTCAACTTCGAAGAATACAGCACCCGAGAGCTATACTTTGAAAAGGACTTCAACGAAGTCAAAGCTTGATGTCTTGGCTCCACAGTCACTTTCAGCTCCTGAAGCTTTGCCGCCACCTCTTCATGCTTGGAAGCATCGCGCACTGCCACCTCTCAGGGTCGCAGGAGGATTTACTCCATTTGCTGCTTCATGTTTCGCATTGACAAGGCCTTTAGTGCTGCCGTGTGTTAGATTCTTCTTCCTTGACCTGTATTGCTAGTTGCGCCAGGGAGCCAGGCCCTCAGAATGCTCTGGCACCTAGTCCAGTCGATCTCCCCTTAGGAGTGCTTTGCAACGGCTGCAACAACAGGATGGGCCATACAAGCTTACTGCCTTCGGCCAGCAGCTCCCCACGTTCCTGACCACCCCCCGGCCACCTGGTACGACTGTTGGACTGCAACTGCAACCAACAGCTTAGTAGTGCCCCAATGGCAAACACGTGCACATGCTAGCGTCATTTCGGCAGCATGCAGGGCAAACCTCGAATGCCTATCCAGCCTGCCCCTTCAGTAGCTCTGGTTGGTTTTTCGGGGCTGTCGGGGACATCATGACCTTCCAATCTTCCGTCCCATACCGCTTCCTTATTACATGTTATGAAGGAACATCGCACCAAGGTGCTGAAGCAGGTAAGGTGCGTCACGCCCATCATGATTCCTATCCCATCTGGTCTACCTGATGACGCGGCTCAAGCACATGTGATGTGATTGACAACCCGAGTGGAGGTGGACACTCAGCATGGCCATCAAGACAGAAGCAGAAAGCTACGGCTAGAGGGTTTCCCAACGGTCAACTCAGTTCCTCCCTCAGGGTGTTCGAGTGTATGCAATGAAGTCCTTTGCCTGACTACTAAAATGACCTCGGAATTTGGGATTGACCATCCTGCTGCATCAAGTGGATGTAGACATCCTACGCGCTGCTCGACCAGAATTTCTTCGACAGGTTGAAGTTGCATCCCCGATGCAATCAGTAGCCGCACTGATAATTCAGCCTGTTTTGGGGGGCCACCAGAAACTGTCCCACAATGCTGAGAATCCCCAAGAGTTGATACAGCAACTTCAACAGTGCACGTGACATCACGTGTGCAGTCGGAGCCCCTGAGTTCCGGCTGGGGCCGCTCAAACCTATCGTTGCTTTCTTGCTACTCGTTGCGGCACCACAAGTGGTCTAGGGCCTATACGTGCATGCAGTTACGCAAATCTGTATGTAAAGCCTTGAGACACCGACCTGGATCAAGGCGGCAATGTCCTCATGAATGGGGTAATACTTTAACTTGTAGATCTCGGACTTTGGGGCACCGAACTTGGTGAGCTTCAGAGTCTTCACAGCAGCTTCCTCATCCCCAGCCTTGCCAGATCTGAGTATGTTCCAGCCCCAGCTGCTCGACGCATCACCATTCTCAGCCTCTGTCTTCGTAGCTTCGCAGGCGTCTTTCTGATTCTGATTGACAATCGGCAAGCGGGGGCTGTTGGTCCGGGCATGACCCGCAACAATGCCAGCCCTCTGTTGCCGCCTCCGCCCGCGCCAACGAGCAATCAGCCAGAATACGCCGAGAACGAGGAGCCACGGGTAAAGCTCTCGATGGGCGAATTGCCAAGCCATGGTTTCCCCAAGTGCTTAGCAAGCTGGGCTGACTTGTTGAACTCGCGTGGGCTTGAATGGGCTGTTCATGCTATTGGGCTGTTGGTAAGATATGGTAAGATCGGATTCATGAGATGAAGTCTCTCTAACGTCATAGGTCCCAGGAGAACCGGATACCTGCGTAAAAGAAGCACTCCAACTTGTGCAAATGGACCAGTACACGTGTCACGCTTGCGTTCCGCTCGTTCTTATTGGACCTCACGTCTGGTAGGCAAAGATTGCGGTGCCCCGGGTCCGATCATGACTTTGTTTTTTGATTCTTTCTGGTCATCGGCTTGGTGCCCATTTTGCCTTCAGACATGCGTAATCACTGCGATATGATGCATGATAATCGCGACAAAGGCAACACAAAAGGAGCGAATAGCTGCTAGCAGGAACATTAAAGTCTCAGCCGCAGCAGCCCCCAAACAGTCTCAGATACGTGTTCAAGTTGTTGGTACGTGCCATTTGGGGAGGGTTTAGAGCGGGCCTGTGTAAGGACAGGAGTGGCTGCCCGCCTCCTTGTCTGTCTGGACATCCGTGGCGACGCCTGCGCTTGCTGTCATGAATCGCCTAGTGGGCGTACCATTTGGATGGATAACAAGGATTGCACCACAGTACTGCGCTGCTTCGGGCCACATGAGGGGAGCCTCATTAATTTTCAGCTGCAGCTAGATTCTAGATTCTAAACCTGCAGCATTCCGTTTGGAATTTCCAAGATGATTTTTTCCTGTGGCGCAGAGCCTTGCAAAGATGGTTGGGGACTTCACAAGCTCGGACCATGGTCTGGGACTGCATTTGATGCTGACGCACTGGACTTCATGAATCCACTCACCTCAGGCTCTTGCTAAACAGTGTTGGGCCGAACCATTCGGAGCATTCAGCCCGGCCTTCGCTGGCTGCTGCACGGGGACGCTTCACCGCCAGAACAGCACGCAGAGGCCTACTAGAAGAAGATTGCAGGCATGTTACAAGGCTATCAAGCACTTTCCCAAGGTTTTCATATGATGACCTCCTTTTATGCTGTGTAACTTGCGGACTAGCAGGCTTGAAAGGAAGGAGCACGCATCCTCAACCTGGCAAGACAACCAGCAAGGAATGCTCAAAGACTTCCCAGGAAAACTTGTCCTAAGTCCATCAAAATCGCCTAGCTATCCTCGAATCTCAGTGCGCCAAAATGACCGTCTCCATAGACACTGTGGAGCCCGAATCAGAAGCAATGATGTAAGAATTTCACAGACTCTCTTACAAACTTGCTTGGGGGGGCCTTGCGGTAGCCTCGCGGGCCTCCCGCTCTCGGGGTGCCTTCCACTCCAAAAGCTCCAGGGGATCCTGGCAGTTTCTTGTGAATGTAACTCTCAGCGTAGCACTAACATGGATTGCCATTCGCTATCTCGATGTTTTGATTGCGAGCCTTCTGCATCATAACACAAGCTTGCTTTTAGGTCCCCAGTCCCCAGGCCATTTTCTCACAGCAAAACCCATCCTGATGGTCTCCACACTTTGTACCCAAATTTCGTACGGTGGATGACGGCTTTAAGTTCTTGACGTAGCCTGCCTGATATGACTGTCTAGCCTTTCTGTGCGAGATGTTGTTTGAGGATTTGGTTGCGCACAGCTCTGAGGTTGCTATTTGACCTGTAGCGCTTTTTACCATCATGATATGCCCCACTACGACCTTCATAGCATCACCCTGCTACTCAAAATTTGTCGAGCCTCCATCGGTCCCTGAAGTCGTCGGTCCTGCCAAATGACCCACTAAGACGGGCCACAAAGAGCAGTGGCTGTATGTCATGGTTCTAGAAATGACTCAACCTGCCTGGCCAAGGATTAAGTCTGAGGTCTACAACTAAGCAGTTATGAGAATTGGCGTGGCAAACTCCAGGATAACAGTTTCCGAGCAGAAATGCAGATATCAAGCGCAGTGACCAAGCTGGACGACTACCGCACTGCGCCGCTATTGTACGATACTCGCTTCTACCATGGCCACCAAATGTCTCCACCTTGAGTTGCTCGGGTGTTTAGTGCCCATGATTACCAGCAAAGGCGCAAGAGAAGGTTTTGAGCATTGGCCTGCTCTGCAAGACAACTTCTTAGGTGCTGCGTGCTGGTCGCTCCAAGCTCCCATGAACGCATCCTTGCGGAAGGCGTCCAAAGCACCCTGTCATGCGATGAGGCTGTCGGGCAAGGAAGCCACACCAAATTACCACCGGAACCGAATAGCATGAACAGCGACAGGCTGTTGTCCAAAAGTTATTGCAACCCTGCGAGAACGTGACTCCAGCCCACTACACGACACAATCCTATCAGTTCGGATTAGATAGCGATCTGATCAGCTCTTCCACGGCTCCAATTCCAGAGGGGGCGTTGCAACCACGA